CCTGCCTAGCAAGCATGAGGCTCTGAGTTCAAACCCCAGTACCACCAAGAAAAAAAAAAAGTAGAGAGGGAAGCAAGTTCCCTTCCTGTGATAAGCAATTATTCGATATGAAAGCTTGGGGAGTATAAATCTAACACAAACACTCTTTTAGGAAGCCAAGAATAATTGGGCGTTTCCAAATAACTTAGGGTACCTGAAGACTTGTGAATCTTTAAAAGAAAAAGCTGTCTAAAGATGTGCATTTTTGCTTTTTTATAAAAGTTTTAAGAAATCTATATAGGAAAATAAAATATGTAGCTATATGATTAAGTAAATGTAGCCATTAAAAACACATTTTGAAGAATTTTTAACAAATGGGAAGTAGATCACAGCATAATGCTGATAGAAGATGCAGAATTCAAAGATGCACAATCTGATTATTTAAAGCATGTTCCTTTTTTCTCTTTTTTTATTTATTCATATATGCATGCACTGTTTGGGTCATTTCTCCCCCCTGCCCCCACCCCATCCCTCTCCCCCACCAACTCCCCTCGCTTCCAGGCAGAACCTGTTCTTCCCTCTTCTCCAATTTTGTTGAAGAGAAGACATAAGCAATAATAAGAAAGACAGCATTTTTGCTAGTTGAGATAAGGATAGCTGTACAGAGAGATTCCCAGCATTGCTTTCGTGTACAAGTGTGTTACAACCTGAATTGATTCATCTCTACCTGACCTCTTCACTATTTCCTGGTCACCTTCCCATGTTGACCTCTGTCATTTTAAGGTTACTGTATTAGCTCCTCTGCAGTGGGGACATCAAACACGTCCAAGTTTTGGGTTTCCTAACTATCCCCATTCTTCCTGTATGTGCTCTCCCCTTAGTGTGTGACCCATGTTTTTCCTTTTTTAATCCACGAGTACTAATTGATCTTACATGTCAGGATTTCCAGGAGAACTACCTCATCCTTCAGACCTCAGTTTAAATAGCATCAGTTCAGAGGTTTAAAGAATTATTTCATACACTGGATTTCATTGCTTATTAGTCATTCATCGAGTGCCTACTCTGTGTTCAATATTGTGCAGGACAAATGCACCAAAGATATTGGTGTGTATCTTTGACATACACAAGAAATATACAACCAGTGGAATCAACACATTACAACTGTCTTCCGTATGAGCTGATTTTCTTTTTTCTCTTCTAAAAGTTCTGGAAATCAGGTAAAGCAGTATTAAATGAACTGAACAGGGGAAATAGGACATAGCAGATGAAAACAAGCAGGAAGAATAATTTAAATGATGGCCTCAGGTGCGATGGCTTAGAGTATGCTGGTGACCCACTCACAACAGTATCTCTCTGTGTGTAGTTTACAAAAGAAGGGAAAAGGCTGGGCGTGGTGACTCACATCTGTAATCCTAGATACTCAAATACTGAGATCAGGAGGATCTCAATTCAAGACCAGATCAGGGAAAAGTTCAAGACCCCCATCTCAACCAATGGCTAGGAAAGATGGGCATACCTGCCATCCCAGCTGCAAGTATAAAGTAGGCGAATTGCAGTCCAGGTCAGTAGGGGAAGAAAAGCAAGACCCTACTGAAAAATAATTACAGGAAAAAAGATCAAGAGCATGACTCAAGTGGTAGAGGACCTGCCTAGTGAGAGCAAGGCCCTGAGTTCAAACCCCAGTACTGTGACATTTAAAAAGAGAAACAAACAAACAAAAAACCCAAAAAAGCAGATGGAGTTTTATGGACTATTCAAGTTGCCAAAGGACGTCTTAAACCGTGGGACTATGACATATGTCACAGGGTTAATAGGAAACTGGTGTTACTGTTTAAATGAGTTGCCTTCAAACTTCAGGTGTTGAAACTTAATGGCCAATGGAAAGGTTTCAATAGGTGAAGACTTTTAGAGGAATTAGGTCATGAGTCCTCCCCTCCCTGATGGGATTGAACCCACGAAGGAGGCCCTACCACCTTTTGCCATGAGGACACAGTGTTCAAAGTGCCATCCTGCAGCTGAGACGACCTCACCAGACAAAGAACCTGCTGACAGCTTCCAAAAGTGTGAGGAATAAATTTGCTGCTTTTAAGCGTCCTGTTCTCAGGCATTTTGTAATAGCAGCACAGACAGGTGACAATAACTGGGAATTAGAGATCAGGTATTTATGTATTCTACATCACACTGCTACTCAAGAAAAAATCCATCCCTCCACCAAGAACTGATTAGAAAACTAGAAAAAAAATGACGTAAAATGATGACAACAAGACAAACTAAATAAGGACAGAAGTTGGAAGACTATTCCTGAATGGGGGAGGGGGCCCTAGTTTTTTTGAGACAATTTAGGTTGCTACGCAGCCTAAATTGAACCTGAACTCAAAAGTCCTCCTGCCTCAGCCTTCCAAGTGCTGGGATTACAGGCCACCACACCAACCCAGAATTTTTTTTTAAATTAAACGGTATGACCCTACTTTTTTTGTCTTAGACATACTAAAAAGTATGTTCGCACTTAGAATTATATACATCAAAATCACAACAGGAGTATTTGGAGTAGGTTCTTACTTTTTTCTGGGTTTTTTTTTCCGTTTAATTCATTTTTGATCATTTCTAGTTGCCACTTATTGCTTACTATATCTGTCAGACATTATATCAGCATGTTAGGTAATGTAGAAGTAAAAATTCTGTGACTGAGCAGAGTGGCTTACTTCTATAATCACAGCACCCGGGAGGCAGAGGCAGGAGGACCGGGAGCCTTCACTACATAGTAAGTCTCCATCTCAAAAATAAATAAACAACAATATAATTGTGGCAGGGGATGTGCTGGCATGAAGCTTAGTGGGGTTTGGGTAGAGGGTTGTGTTAAGAAGATCATGTGGGTGGGAGAGAGAATTTTAATAAGTATAACAGTTGTTTTCAGTCCAGCAAATGTTTGTACAATGTTGACATTGACTTTGGTGGATGGAGCATTATTTCTTTTCTAGATATGTGACCCTGAGATTAAACTACACAGATTCTGGCTTCATCAAGGTTCAAAAACATGACTGCATTTTTGTTAAACACAAAACACTGCCTCAAATTTAGAGAAAAGCTGGGTCACACCAGCAAATCTTGTCCATTTGCTGCTTAATAAAACTCCACTCTTCCCTAGTTATTTACCTGCCCTGTGCACATACCCACACTTTAGGATACTGGATCTGTAACTTGATAAAAATAAATTACTCTGTGAAACGTGTAAGCTCATTTACTTCTTACAGAACCAAGTGTGGTATCCTTAGCAGCTGACACTACTGAACGTGCTATTTTGGGAAGTCTCCCAAGCACCCCCAGCTCTGCAGTGGAACCCCTGCCCCATCTGATTCTAGCCTGGCCTTCCTCAGCATGGGCCCCATGTCACACGGGCGTGTGCCACACTTGCTGACAGCTGGGAGCTGGCCGGAGCCCTGTCCATGGGCTTTCTCAGCTCTTCACGTTGATGGACCTTCAGGGAATTTTTAGCAGTTTTTCTTTTGTGACAAGTTAAAAAATAAAAACATACCAAATTTTTAAATTTTTGTGCTATATACAATGCCTTTAAGAAAGTGAAAAGAAGCCCACAGAATGGTGAAAAATATTTACAAGTCACGTCTCTGATAAGGGACTTGTATCAAGAATATACTTTTAAAATCTTACAATTAAACAAAGCTTTCCTTCCCCCTCAGTAAATAAATAAAGTCTTACAATTCAATAATAAAAAGCTAACCTAAGGCTGGGCACTGGTGGCTCATGCTTGTAATTCTAGCTATGCAGGAGGCAGAGATCAGGAAGATTGAGGTTTGAAGGCAGCCTGGGCAAATAGTTTGTGAGGAACCATCTCAAAAAAAACCCTTCACAAGAAAGGGCTGGCAAGGTGGCTCAAGTGATAGAGCGCCTGCCTAGCAAGTGTGACGTCCTGAGTTCAAACCACAGTGCTGCTCTCTCCCCTACCCCCCCAAAAAAAGATAGCACGTCACATCCACAGCAAGGCTGCAACCAGTATGTCAGGACCAAATGCTGACAAGGATGTGCAGAAACAGGAGCCCTCACGCTGGATGAAGCATGAAAACACTTTGGAAAAGTTCAGCGGTTGCTTGAGATGTTAAGATGCTCCTTGACACTCACTCCTGGGACTGAAAACACCCTCAAAATACTTATCAAAGGAACTTCATAGCAGCACTATTCACAATAGTCAAAAAGTGGAAACTCAAAACATCCATTAACTGATGAATGAATGAAGTGTGGTATATCCACACAATGGAATATTATTCACCCAAAAAAGGGGAAGTACTGGTGACATGCTACAATGGAGAAACCTCCAAAAGAAGCCAGTCACAAAAAGGTCCTACATTTCATGATTCTATGTGTATGAAATGCCCAGGACAGGTAAATTCAGCCACAGAAGATGAGTCAAGGGCTAAGCAGAAGGAATGGACTGACTGCCAAAGGGGGCTGGGCTTCTCTAGGGTGATGAAAGGGCTCTGGATTAGATTGTGGTGGTTGCACAACCTTGTGAATGTACTAAAATGCCGTACACTTTAGACTGAGCTATGCGTCAATAAAGCTGTTTAAAAAAACTGGTGAAAACACAAGACAGCTAAGCATTTGTAAAAATTCCCTCTTGAACCAACTTCCTCTTTCACAGAGCCACCTTCCTTTCTGCTCTAGCTCGTGTCTTTGTTCTTTTCCTTGCAGGCGGTTGATGGCAAACTACTTTCCCATGTTAATTAACTACAAGGTATACATGGTAAACTAGGGAAAAAACCCACGCTTTGGAGAACGTAATATAGAATAGCTCACACCATGGCTACGAAGCCAATCCAGACACATAACTGTGTTCTAAATGATGTCCAAAGTCTGCAAATAATTCTAATACGCCACGCATCTCATAACTTAATGTTCAAACACAAGCACAAATGGGTAAGCACATGGTAAATTTAAAACATGCAGCTTCGCATAAATATTTTACACAAAATTCTACGTACTTTGCAAGAGCACAGAAGTCACACTATCCCACTGCCACACGAAGCTACATCTAAAACATCCATTGTGAAATGCTTTATCTTCAGATCTCATTTAACTTTTCCCCCGAAGGAAAATAAAACCAGTGAGATTTTTCAGTAGAAGTCATTTTATTATTTCAGTGCAAGAATTTCCAGGTTTATTTTCAATTTCAGTTTCAAAACAAACTGACATGAATTTTTAGTCTTTGTATCTGTGGTGGTGACCAATAAAATGTGTAATATAAAAAAATGAATCACTGCAGGAAGTGTACAAATTCAATGCATAAGAATCTTTCCTACCTAAAGCTGTAAACTAAAAACCTGTTCATCTGAAATACTTATGAGGTAATAAGGATTTCAGCTCATTATGCATATCACAAATAGAATGTAAGAGACGATACATTTCTTCAAATGCATTTGTTTTACTCTGTTGAATTTTGTGCTTTCGAACACCCATTTCCCAGGTCACCAAAATCAAATGTGTGCAGACAAAACAGGTTACTGAAAAGGGATACAGTTCAAGAACACAAATTGTAATTCATGTGTGAGGCCAGTCTTACTTGTGCATTTCAAGTATCACAGTTTTAAGAGACACAGCCTTTACAAAGAGTCACTAAGGTGTACATTTTCACTGAACCTTTATTTCAAGAACCAAAATTAAGTTAAATAAAATTCTATGCTTGCAAGGATATCAAATACCATGCAGTCTACTATCTAAGAATAGAGTCAACTAACTTAAAAAGGAGAATTCATTTTTATTTTCCTATATACTCAATTAACTGTAAGTTCATTAAAACCACTTGAAATTAAGCATTTAACTTGAAACAGTTATCAAAATCCCAACATAAGTAAAAATATCTCTAACTAGCTTAGAACCCTGCACTCCCCCTGTGGCAAGGACACTGTTCCAGGGAACATCATCCAGAGCTGATGCAGCGTGGCCGAGGGCAAGGCTCACACACTGCTTCCTGAGAAGCAGTGGGAGGAAAAGGCTTCTCAGGTCTTTCTACACATCAGCAGCTGCTAAGCCAGTCAAAGTGGACTGTCAAACTGAAATATCCCGTACTTCCCTGTGGTCAGCCAGTTGGGCTCAGAAGCCGTGAGCTGCTCGGCTTGCCCGGGCTGCAGACCAACCTGAACCTCAGCTTTTAATGTTCTGATGCTGCACAGAGGTGCTGGATGGAAGCCTTCCAGAGCCTGATGAAATGGGGTGGTGAACTCCCATTTCCTGTCGCCTGTCAGCTTCCTGTAATTCAAATCACCCTTGAATAAAATTAAACATGACTTCTGTAGTTCCGCATATAAGTCAGGGGCGACCTGAGGCATTGAACAGTACGCGTGAGGCAGAGTCCAGAACACATGATCGTGGTAAGCCCATCTACCCATTTTAACATGGTTTTCCCAGCCAACCCCACACTGGAACATCAACTTATCACCACAGTGTTTTACTTGCTCAATTACCCAACTAAAGTCATGTAGAGTAGTATCAGAAACAAACCATGGGATAGTTTTCCCATGGAAATGAATCTCAGCAGCCAACTTAGAGGACAACAAGAAGTCAGCTAGTACTAAGTCTGTAACGAGTTCAAACCCGGAATTGTCCAGTACAATGTCCATTCTAACTGCAGACGCTTTTGCTCTTGTTTTCCTGTATCTACTCAGCAACGTCCAAAGGTGCTCCAACTCATTCACTACAATGAAAGGCTTTAAGTCTTCTAAAGAACTCACCACATCGGTCTTCTGAGAACTACTTTTCCCACCTGACAGAGACAGGTCACACTTATTTCCCCAGAGTGAAATCTGAAAAAGAAAAGCATGAAACAGTCGTCCTTTTATATAACCAATAAAACTACCACGTAGGAGGGTAGAGGAGAGGTTGCTAAAATATTCATACAACTTATTTCTGTGAAATTCTCAATGATCATTGGCAAATAACATCTCCAAGGCTCACCTTCTGCAACTGAACAATGAGGAAATACTTTCCTCAGAGTTAGAACTAACTGACCTAATACACGTACGTAACTTGGCAAATAACATACCAAAAGCTTGGCATACAGAAGTACTCGATAAATATTAGCCAAAATAGATTTGACTTTTATTTGTGATTTAAAATTAGGAGTATGGTCAGGCACAGAGGCACATGTCCGCAGACTCAGCTACTGGAGAGGAGGACTGCATGAGTTCAATGTCAGCCTGGGCAACACAGCAAGACCTCATCTTGAAAACAATAAAAAACTAAAATTAGGAAAACACCTGCTTCAACCAAGAGCATTATTCTTTTTAAAAAGAAATGAAAGCTTTTCTAAAAAGGCCTAAGGATTGTGCAGTAAGCAAGTGTCTGCGGCACACTGCCACTTGCTGAGGAAACAAGCCGTGGGGTACATGGTGGCCTGCACCGCTGAGAGAGGCACCTGCTGCTGTCCTGCATGGGGCCCTCACCCGCCCCGAGCTGGCACTCACGGTCTCCTGTGTGACGATCTGACTGTCCATGTCCCCCACCATTACAAGTTCTGTGGCAGCAAGGACTGGCCTGTTGCCCACATCTAGACAAGGGCTTACCACAGCAGGTCCATAAACACTCGTGTAGACGGCCAGAGACCACTGTGACTCCGGAAACCAGATCAGCACCTCCAGGTGTTGGGACACTAAGAGAAGGCAACACTGGTCTCTTCTACATGGGAGCAGGGGAGCGTGGGGTGGCTGGCCAAATGACATGGCAGAAAATGAAGTGGCACTTGCTCTTTTCTTTTTTTTTCCTTTAGTTTCATTTTTGACACAGGGTCTTGCATTTATGCACAGGCCAGTCTGGATTGCAATCCTCCTGATCTCTACCTACCAAGTAGCTGGGATTACAGGCATGAACTACCACACCTGGCTAGTATTCATATTTATATTGTGAAAAAGAACATGATATTTATAGAAAAAGAACATATGTTAAAAAAAATATTCTCTGAAAGAATGCACGAGCTAGGAGTTAAGAGCTGGCATGCTAGTTTTCTCTTTCTTTTTTAATTACAAGTTAAACATAAATGACTGTTCAGTGGGTAAAAAAAAATCAAACAAAAAACTGGTTTTAAAAAGGTTACTAATTATAATACATAAATAATCTCTAAATTAGTAAACTACTAATGTTTACAGAACTGAACATAAGACACTCATATCATCTGATCTTTACCTGTAGAAGTTTAAAAAATTCACTTTTCAGCTGATTTTCGTCTAGGTCTTCAATAGATCTTGTCAACTGTTGCAAGTGAGTACATAAAATACTGATAGATTCCTGTGACTCAAAGAAATTTTTGTCTTTGCATTCTCTAAATACATCAAAGTCATCGATTGGTGGGCTACAGCAGGAGAAAAACATTAGTGAAACACTTAGCAAAGTCCCTCTTTTTTCTAACCACATTTGGGCGGTTGCAGTTCCTTAATGGAAGAGAACAGCACCATGGGTCTCAATAAACAGTGAGTGGTAAAAGACAGTGGGCACAGACAGTGACCAAACTGAACGAAAACAAACCTCACACGTCCTGCAACCCCGCCAAAGGCTCTCACGCAGGTCAACCATTTCCCTGCAGTAGAATCACTTCCCTACAGAGCTGCCAGGGCAAAAGGAGGGAGACTAACAAAATCTGAAGGGAACTGCCCAATGGGACAGGGCTCCTAGCAAATGTGTAAATATTCGAGTACAACACAGTAACCACTAAGACAGTCAAACCCAGATTATGGAAATACAATGAGTACATGAGGTACACCAGACATAATGCCCTTGTAAATTTTATTAGAATGGTAAATTTCAAGCATTTATACACATAAATAAGATTTTTTTGCTCAAATTCCATGTCCAGGCTAATTTTTAGCAAAGGTAGGATTTGTGTGTGGCTGCAACTTTACGAGAACTAAGAGAGAAAATAACCAAGAAGCCTTAAATACTTTATAGAATTGAATAAAAAAGACATTCTCATTATGTAAATGAGCTACTTTCTCCACAGGCTGCCCACGTTAAGGTAAAAACAACGTAAGACTGTGGTGACAGGCCTGGCTGGGATGGCATACCAGCACCTCTACATCCAATGTCGGCCGCCTCCTCCTTTACCCCAAGGATGGTGCCATTGCCAAAGCGTGTTTGGAATTTCCTCCAGAACCCGTGGCACATTATCAAACGTCCTGCCACCACCTATCTTCACAGTTTACTTTGGAAACAGTCAAAAGTCACTCAACAACTTCAGTACAATAAAGTGTGTAATCAAACCAAATTAAAGCATCGTCAGTAAAAAGTGAGGAATTACAATAATGAAAATAATTTTTCTTTTTGAGGCTCGTGAAGTGGCTCTGAAAGAAAGTCCAAAGGATTCAAAAGCATCTTTAGCAACAACAGCACTGCTGCAACTATCAGTCACTCGAGGTGACTTAAAAGGACAAAAACCACTTGGATGCACAGGTTCCAATGTGGGAACCAGCAAACCACACCTCACAGGCCCCATCAGGCCACCACCTGTTTTGATGACCCACAAACCACGGATGGTTTGCACGTTTCTGAATGGTTTAAAAACAAAGCAAAAGAACAATACTATTTTGTGCCCATAAATGAGGTTTTACTGGAAGAGTCGTGCTCGCTCATTTACGAATTACCCATGCCTGACTTTGCAACACGGTGGCCGAGCTGAGCGGCTGTGACAGAGACCATATGGCCCACAAAACCTAAACTAGGTGTTATCTGGCCCTCTACAGAAAAAAGTTTGACAACCCATCTTCTTACGTTTTAGTAGCAAACAGTTCATTAGTGTAAAGTCAGACCTCATGTTAAAAATGAGCCTTATTTCTTGTATTTAAGAGAGTGACTCTCAGGTAAATATACATAATTTCTCATTCTAGGTCTGCTATTCTAGAATCTCATCAACACAGTAAGGGAGCTGGACACAAAACTACATAGCATATTGTTTCATTCAAATGAAGTTTAAAAATAGGCAAAACTAACAAAGGTAAGGACAGTGTTCATTCTTGAAGGCGGGGCCAGCAATGACTGGAAGGGCTCCTAAGGAATCAGTAAGCTTGTCTCTGAATCAGGACAGGTACTGAGCAGTCTTTTCTTTTTCTTTTTTTCCTTTCGGCTTTGAACTCAGGGCCTCATGCTTGCTAGGCAGTCGCTCTACCACTTAAGCCAGCCATTTTTTCGGAATGGGTTTTTTTGAGATAGGGTCTCTCAAACTATTTGCCTGAGCTGGCTTTGAACTGGAATCCTCCATTCTCTGCCTCCTGAGTAGCTAGGATTACAGGTGTGAGCCACTGGCATTTAAGAACACTGAGTATGTTCTTAAACACTTAAGGCATGTGTATATGCACTTTACATTTTAATTAAACATTTTAAAATGACTACTTTCTACTTTTCTCTGTACTTTCAGGTTTCAATAGCTTAAGTATATTTACCTAACATATTTAAATTTCACATGTGCCTAAAACTTTTAACCTTAACTTGGACTTGCAAGACTATTCAACTCAAATAAAAACCCAAACAAACATTTCAACAAAGAACACATTAGAAGTATGTCTCAGAGTAAGGAGAAAATTCACTGTGTTTTAGAGCTAATATCCCTCTGAAGTTGCCCCAGCCTGGGTAAGAGTAGCCCCAACAAGAACATGACAAGTGTGACGGTCCACAACTACTCCATGCTGCTGTACTATACTCGTCAGGAAACAGCTCCATCCAGGTCAAAGTAACACCGATCCCCGGACCTCCAATGTCTGCCACAGAGCCACTCTGGGAAGAATTCTCTATCCAGGGCTGACACGTTCTCATTTCTTGAACAGAAAGCTGAATTTTCTCTCTCTCCTTAACAACAAACCATTCCCTGGATCAGTGGAGATCCATCCAATCTCCCTGAGGTGCCTGGGAAAAAACTGGTTGTAAATGTGCAGCTAGGTTCATGATACTCTGCCCTGTATGTTTTTATTTCCTGACCCTAGCTCACCTCCAAAATCTGGCTCAGAAATAGCATTCCTTTTGTCTTTCTAACTTCCAAACCCAACTCCCCTGCCACTCAAGGTACCACCCAGGCTTTCAGGTGTTCAATGCTTCAAGAGCTTTGCCTCTTACAAGATCCATTCCAAAACTGACACCATGACTGAGAATTTAAGCTACTTTTAAAAATCAAACACTTGGAAAAGATAACCTGAAACAGACGCTAATCTGATTTACACAGACAGGCCTCAAATCCTGGATACAACTTATTAGCCCCTGAACCTTGGGCAAGTGACACGCCGATGTGAGTTTCCTCAGTTGTGCAAAGGAAACTGTAACAGTCACACTTCCCAGCTGCACACTAACTGGCAGACAACAATCCCTCACATCTTCTGTTGAGAACCCTCGGTGCGCCAGATCTGTAGTAGTTTGCTTTGTTTTTAGAACAGAAGTTCTAAACATTCCTATTCAGTAAAACAACAAATTGTTATTTTAAAAAATAATTTCTAAAGATTAAGATGGGAAAGCTAATAAACAGGCTCACGGCTATGTATATTTCCCCAAGTTATTTATAATTAGTGTTGGCCTGATCAATTACTTAAAGTCACCCTACATAGCATTTGGGAACAGGTACCAAAGGATTCCTCTTACTCAACAAACCTACATTTTTGTAAGGTGTAAGCTGAAGGATAATTCACATTACTTTGGGGAGTTTTGTGCACAATAAACTAGTTATATATCAAAATTTTCCTAGGAAAAATTAAAGAGAATCAACAATCTATAGAAAGTTATTTGGGGCCCTTGAGTTACAGGTGCGGCTCAGAGCTGCTCCCCCCACGTTTCTTCCGAAGTATACTTTCCTGCTTTCACTTACTCTCAGTAAAACTCTGCAATTACTTTAAAAAAAAAAAAAAGTTATTTGGGAACACATGTGAAACTTTTAGTCTTTTTTTTGTAGTCTACCCACTAAAACACAATAAAACAGGACTGAAGTTTAAGACAGAGTGGGCGACAATGAGTGATTCTCTGTCCTGATTGCTCCTCCTACCAAATCAATTCTGACATATTATTTGTACGAATAAAGTGTACGTTTACTTGGTTGCATCTTGAATTTTTATATACATAATTATTTCAAATTAAAATTTTTTTGCTCAGTAAGTACAATTTCTCTTACTCTGCAAGAGAAGCCTTTGTAAGAATCTTTAATAAATTCATACTGAATGTGCAACTTCTGTCTATTGCAGACAAGTGGAATACAGTAACCAAGAAGCCATCAAATCCTATCATTTGTGGAAATGTTAAACAGCACTGTTAATATTTGATGAACTCAACTGAATTCAAGCTTCCACTTGTTTATTTTCAAACTTATCCTTTTATAATTTCCAAAAAAAGCATAAATTATCGAAACACTTGCTATTTGACAGTTACGTGCTTACCACTGGATAATGGCTTCATGAATTCTGCGATACATGTAGCATTCTACAAACAGCCATGGTGAGTGGAACCAGCTTGGTTTCCCATCACTTTCACTTAGAAGACTCTGCTGATACTCTAGGTACTGATTCCATATGTCAGTATCAATACATTTGTCCACCAAGGGGTTAATTGGTTTATCTGTTTGCAACTCATTCCGTAATTTAGAAAGAAGAGAAATAGCTTTCTTTTCAGCTTCCATGCCTTTCTGTGAAAATACAAAAAAAAGAAAAATGTGTGGGTGTGCACACATGTGTGCAAGTTCCTCTAGGATGACACATTTCTACAGACCTAACTTTAAGAAGGAAAGAAATACACCGTATTTCAAAAGTGCATTTTGTCTTTCGTACACACTTGTAGGCATTTTCAAAGAGAATACAGACCTCCTAGTAACATAATCGTCTCTAATCTACCCTGACTTTGTTGTTAGTTCTGGTCTTTCAGTATCTTCAGGGGGTCTTGCCCACTAGCACAGAGGGAAAGAAACTACTGCCAGGTTTGCAGTGTCTTTCATGCTTCTAAATGTATTTGCTTTTCACCAGTGGCACTACTAGAAAAGGAGCTCTGGCCTTCCTGAGGTTTCTCTTGGCAGCTCTGGGGGGTTTCTATATTCCTGGTACCCTTCTGCCCAGTTCCAGACAGGGTGACAGGCACCCCCACAAACAAGGTGCTATAGTATCAGCTCGAGTAACAGGCCAACTGGAGAAGGTACCAATGTTATGGGATCAGTACCTTAAGTTTTATACCAGCATTATTCCTGTCTCGTTAAAAAAAGAAAAAGAGCCAGACATGGTGGCCTGTGCCTGTAATCTGAGCACTCGGGAGGCTGAGGCAGAAGGACTTCAAGATGAAGTCTAGCCTGGGCTGCATAGCAAGACCTTGTCTCAAAAAAAATATATGATTTAATATTTGCCCAGCTATTTTTGTGAGATCATTTTACCATGCTGGTGTTAAGGTAATTCAGTCCCCATTGTGAAACCCATGTTTCAAAACTGACTCTCGCCAGTCTTCTTTTTTTGCTGTGCTGGGGATGGAACCCAGGGCCCGTGAACACTAGGCAAGCACTCTAGCCCTGAGCTCCATTCCAAGCCCCCAGTGATTTTTTTCCTTTTTCTCAAGTAGAATCTATTTTGCTTCTAGAATGAAGCTTGACAGACTCTGCAGGTTCAGACTGAGAAGAGGTTGTAAAAGGCACAAAGTTTTAGGAGCTGAGGCTGAGTACCAACATAGCTAATTTTAAGAGGAATTCTCCATCCAACAAATCTCTACCCTAAAGTCTTCAACTGTTTATTTAATGATAAATTCCAACTAAGTTTTTTTTTTTGGTGGTACTGGGATTTGAACTCAGAGCCTCGCACTTGGTAGGCAGGCATTCTAACACTTGAGCCATGTTCCCTGCCCTTTTTTGCTTTAGTTATTTTTTGGATAGGGTCTCAAGGTTTTGCCTAGGGCCAGCCTCAGACCTTGGGCCTCCTAGAATGCCTTCTTTGTGCCACCACACCCAGCTTATTTGTTGAGATGGGGGGGGGGGGGTCTCACTAATTTTTTCCCAGGCTAGCCTTGAACTGCAATCCTCCTGATCTCTACTCCCAACTAGCTAGAATTACAGGCTTGAGCCACCACACCAGGCAATAAGCACCCTTTTTTTTTTTTTTTTTCAGCGCTGGAGTTTGAACGCAGGGCCTTATGCTTGCTAGGTCAGCACTTACCATTTGAGCCACTGTCTGCCCAAGCACCCTTTTCTTAAAGAGGCAAATATTTTCCAGGTGTGGTGGTACATGCCTGTAATCCCAGCACTCAGGAGGCTGAGTAGGACAATTACAAATTTGAGGGAAGTCTGGGACACCCAGCCAATTCAAGGCATGTCAGGGCTATATAACCAAACTCTGTCTCAAAAACAAACAAAAAGCAAATATGGGCTAAGAACTAATATTTGTGTCAATGTCAGTTTATCATCTTGCTTCAATTCAGTTCATGCATTTACTGAACCCCACGTGTACCAGACACTGTCCTATGGCCAGCAAGAGATGAACAAAGTCTGGCCCGATTCCAAGGGTTCCACATCTGCCCAACCAGGTAGTCTAAGGAAAGGACCTTTGACAATATTATGATGGGAAGGAAAAGATTGTAACACTGCTCATTTGGGAACACGTGTGGCACTGCTGTAGCTGGAGGTTCAGAGAGGTGGAGCAGACAAGGTGCCAGGGGAGTATGGCCAACCGTATCACAGAAGGCTAAAAGTAGAGACAGAAAGGCTACCAAGAGCAGACTTTACTTATGTCACATTTCACTAGGTCTTGTCTTGTGCCCAAGAGAGTGTGAAACAGGGTAGGGCTGGAGGGACAGCAGACCCCTTTTCGTGCTTAGCTATCATGGTCACCCATCAGGGTCATCATGAGCACGATGGCCAAGCAGCAACATAAGACTTGATCAATTACTTCATGTTTAGTCACTACAGTCAAAAAGAAATTGAAATTACAAAGGATTATGGTAATTTGCTTACACATATGACCAAATTTGGCTAAATTATACTTCTGTGGTAAATGTGTGCAACAACCAAGACAAAATTGTGTGATAAACTCTGGACCCACTCATCAACAGAAACGTATCCAAGACAAGCAAGGTGTCAGCAATGAAGAGCAACAGGCAGCCAGGCATGGTCACGCACACCTGTGATCCCAGCACTCGGGAGACTGAGGCAGGAGGATCTCAAGTTCAGGCCAGCCTGGTCTGTATAATGAGAAATGAGACTCTGTCTCAAAAAAGAAAAAAACAAACAAAAAAGACAGTAACAACAGTAGGGGATCCTGCATTATACCAGGCTTGGTTTAGAAAGAAATGCAACATTACATATTCCCATTGCCTGTGTGCTCCCTTGATCCATTTCAATTTGGTCAACAAAAGATCACTATTTTTCTGTATCTTTGCTGTCAACACATTCAAGAAAACATATTGGTGTATGCATTGTCTTTTACAATCTATTTCATAATCCAAACATTACTACTGGGACTGGAGAAGGGAAGGGGATAGGCAGTGTGGCTCAAGTTTTAAGTGGTAGAGCACCTGCCTGCAAGCACAAGTCCTTGAGTTCAATCCCCAAGCTGCAAAAAAAAAAAAAAGGCCCTATCTCCAATAAGACAGATATGTAGGATTTTCCTCAACCATTAATTCATTAATTAAATGGACAAATTAATTAAAGTCTTATTCTGCTGAGTAACGATGAATCTTCCATATTTAATCACATTTGTCAATCAATCATAATTCCTATTGCCCTTCACCTTGAGTTGTGCGTAGCAGTCTGAGCTTCTGGGACATAAGACCTCAAATTAGTAACAGAAATGTTGTACACAGGTACGTCAGAAACTAAAGCTTTTTTGAGAAAGTCAACAAAGTAGTTGCCTGTACATTAGAAAATATGATGTGTCTCTAAATAACTGACGGACTAAGTTGGTAGAACATGGCTCTCTTCTAAACTGGAGCTGGCTGTCTACATTGCCGATCTCGTGACTATACTGTATTTCAACCTGTCACCGGAAAGTCACACAAATATTTGGCCCATGTACTCATTCTTACAAGAGTGTTGAAGCCTTCAGTAATTCCTATTACTCTCCTGAAGAATTAACAAAAAATGAAAACACAATTCAATTCTTACCTCTCCATGTTTCTCAAAAAATTCATTTTTATGACGATGCAATGTATCAATTGCCTTAGTTAAGATCTGTGGTGCTCTGTCTTTCATTGTAAGATATGCAAATGATCTAGAAAAGAGTGGTATACAATACATTACTTAGAAGCTTTAACACCAGAAGACTGGCCACTTTTAGTTTCTGGAACACTTCAAGTTAAATTAAAAGTCCTTTTCATGTAACTATTAAAAGGCAAGCTAGTCTGTCCATGACAGTGACATAAGAAATTCTGAAAGCAAGGCAGTCTTGGTGCCTCCAGTTCCAAGCTCTCTCTGGAGTCTTCATCATTCTCACCTTCCCCATTCCACTTCTTTGCTTTTCCTGAACCAGAAACTAGTTTAACAATGTGCTAGGCTAAAAAAGGATTTGCCTCCAAATCACACAGGCTCTCCTACTTTCTACGGGACTTCATCTGCTGCAAAGATGCAGGAGGCAATGAACGTAAAACTGTACCCAAGACTCCAATGTGCTTAAAGAATATTAAAGAACTAAAAGCATGAGTCTGTTTCTCTATTCTTAGACTACACCCTCAGTCAAGTTTAATTCTTTTCAAAGGTTTGCTTTACTGTGTTTGCCACCTGCACAAAGGACTCCTTTCATCCTATTTTGACCCTAAACAAACTAAGGTATGCTACTTCTCACTCTCCCAGCCAGAAGTTATCAGAGAATGAAGAAAGCTGATATGAGAAAAACTTATGCTCACATTTAAAAACTTAAAGACGTTCTTGATTTCAGGCATATAAAAAGCAAGATTTACAGATTATAATTTTATATAACTCAATTTTTTAGGAAATACATGTGATTTCATTATAAAAAGTGGAATTATTAGATGAAATTCTGTGCAGTTTTCTTTTTAAACTGAGATACAAACTTTTTAAACATAGAGTAGAGCTTAGCTGATCACCCAAAGTAAAACCACAAAAATTCACAAGGTAAATTTTGAAAACAATGTCTCAGCCCAAATCATTACATTTCTGAAAACTCAAACATCTTATTCGAAATTTTAAATTATTGGACTGTATCTGGTTTTTTCTTCAAAAGGCTTCCAAGAATAACTATAAAACTTTTAAGAAAAAAAACTGCAAAAACACATTTGAGCTCAGTGGTGCTTTGAGAATGTTGAAACCGTGATTAGGTTTTAACCTGTACAGTAGCTACTGGATTAAAATTTTGTATTTTAAAAACCACTACTACTTTGAAAGGAAGGGAAGAATATTAACTTAAACCGATTGGCACATGACTAGTTTATTTTTCTGGTGGTACTGGGACTTGAACCCAGGGCCTTGTACTTGCCAGGCAGGCGCTCTACTACCTGAGCCACTCCCCCAGCCTGACTGTTCTAAGGCAGCAGGTGCAGAAAGAAGCAGCGGTTCTTTGAGACTTTCACTGGGAAGTACTATTTTTCTAAAATCTACCTTTCCTCAAACAGAGTTCTGCCCAGGTCGGGTAAAGGCCCTGGCAGGGGTCAGGGCCAGTGCGAGGCCAGGGGCTCCTCTCTAGCTCTGAAGGCCGAGGGGGTGGCAGCGTCGGCCCTTCCCGCCCAGGGAGGGTCACTTTCTTGGGCGGGTTTTCTGCGGCATTGTCAGGTGGGGGTCCACTTCAGATACGAACGGGGCCATTCAGTTTGTGCAAAGGGATATGCGATTTTTACTGTCGCAAAACTTTGCCTAAAAGGCCAAAAACCACTGTTTGTTCCCCCGCCCCCAGATCGCACCCCATCCATTTTCTCTAGTCCAGGCGCGGTCAACCTGCCCAAACACATTTCCAATGGAAAACTCCGGAAATCAACGATTCTTGAGCTCTAAATGACGCTGATTACAGTATCACTGTTCTGTTTTCTTACTGGTTACTTTTGTTACTCCACCACCGGGCCTGACATAGATCGAACTTGACCACGGCCAAGTCACTGTAAGGGCAGACGTCCACTGGGGTCTCGCAACTCCGACATTTTTTAATTTCTGAGATCACGCATCGATTTGATCAGCAACGTGAACAGCTTCCAATTTTCAGCCACCCACAGGTGCATTTATTACAGTCAGTGGCCGCAGGGAAGCTGACGAGCAGCCTCCCTTCCTCCCCGGGCCCCGCCGTCGCCTCCACGCGAGTTCGCGACACCCGACGAGGCGCCCTCGGGACGCGGAGCCCCACCGCGGGACTTGAACTCGCAACCTCAGGGCAGCGAGCGCCCTCCGCTCGTTACCTACAGCTTCCCAGCCAGGCCTGGCTTTCCGTAAAAGTGGGCAGGAGAAAAGTGAGACGAACCCCACGTCCTGTGCCGAGAGAAACGCCGGCGGCTCCGCCATCACGTCCCGGGAAAACGCTCGGATCTCAACGGTCGCAGCTGCAGCGGCGATGCCGCCGCGAAGGAACTGAGAAACGGAGTGCTGTGGCTTTAAAAATAAAAAAGTGCTTTTGAATGAACAAACTTTATTTGGTACCCAGACAAACGGCAAACAACGGCTGGGTCAGGGACGCAGAGACCTTCCGGGGACGAGGGCGGGGACAGCGGACGACGACGAGAGGAGCGGAATAAGGAAGCGGGCGGAAGGCGGAAGGCAGGCGAAAGGCGGAAGGCAGGCGAAGACCGGAGGCCCGGGGGCCTGGGGAGCGGAAGGAGGCGTGGTTTTGGTCACGTGACTACGCGATCACGTGGCCGGGCGCTCCGCCGGACCTGGAGTTCAGTGCGCTTGCGCAGTATCGGGCTGCGGAGAGGACTGCCCGTGGCGCCTGCAGTTCGCCGCCGCCGCCCCTGTCATCTTCGGTCCTGCAGCGGAAGCTGGCACCCTTGGCGCTTCCTTGTTCTGTTCCCGCGGAGAGGTTAGTGCACTGCCTGTCCGTTGCGCAGAGGCCTCTGCGTTGGCTCGGGTCGCAGGTGTCATCGGTACCGTTGTGACCCTCTGCCTCTTCCAGTGAGCTTTGATTCACTTCTCCGGGAGTCTAAAGCACTCAGTGAGCAAACACGTATTGACCCCTGCTTTGAGCCACAGCATAGTGGTAGCTGCACAGACGAATAAAATCACTTTGAACTTCAGGAATTGGGAGGTCTGCTCCCAAAGGTTAACGCCACTGACCCCTTGAATCGTAATCTAGCCGGAACTGTTTTTTTTTTTTTGGCGGCACTGAGGTTTGAACTCAGAACTTCACAGTCGCTAGGCAGGTGCTCTACCACTTGAGCCACTCGCGGGGTGGAACCGTTTTCTTAATTGATTTTCTTGTTCTCAAAAAGTAGAAGTGTGCCCAAGAACTGAGTAGCTTCCTTGTATTTCATTTTAAAAATTCACTTGATGACTCTCCCCTAGGCATTACTGTCTTAGGAGATACAGCATAACACAAAAATCTGTTTTATAGAGAGAGAAATCCTTCCTTTTCTATTCCTTTCCTTTAGCGTTGTCTCTAATGTAAGTTATACTGACTTGCTGTCATTATTGTTTGCCACCCCAGTGGAAGCTTCAGAAGGAATTTTTGCCTGTTTACCGCTGTGTTAGCAGCTAGCACGATGTCTGGCACATGGTAAGGACTCAGTTTGTTTATTGTGTGAATTAATAAATACTACAAGATTTGCAGGTGATGTTAGATGTGATGAAAAATGGAGAATGGGTGTTGGTGTGGTTATTAAATGAAGTGGTTGAGGAAGACTGTGGGAAGAATAGTTACGTGGGGAGATTTCAGAAGCTCAGTTTTGAGCATTTTGAGTGCTTAGCAGAGAGACTTAGACATAAATGTGTGCTGCTTACCAGATGAAATAGTTGGGAAGAAAAGTGGCCTGGAGACTGAGCCCTGGTTCATTCCATTCCTGAGGGGAATGGAAAATCAGCAAAAAAGAAAAAAGTTACAACCAATTAAGGAGGAAAACAGCCCGCTGTAGTCTGGACGCCAAGTGAAAAGGTGCTTCAAGGAGGATGGAGTGATCACCAGTATCAAATGTTGCTTGATGAGTCAGGTAAAATGAAGACCTGGACAAGAGCAAAGGATTTAGAAGTGTGAAGTTCACTGTTGACCTTGACCAGTGGGTTTGAGTGAAGTTGTACAGGTGAAAGCCCAAGTGGGCTAGGTTTGAAAGAAATCAGAGGAGAGGCAGTGGAGCGGTGTGTAAAACTACTTTTGGAGGAATTTCACAGGAAACAAGCTCAGAGAAGTGATGTAGTACACAAGAAGGGAAATGGGATCACAGGAGAGTTGTCTTCTCAAGGTGAGAGAAATTATAGCATACATAATACTAATAGAAATATTCTGGTAAAGAAGGAAATAATGACATGAAAGAGAAGAGGAAAGCAGGAAGGGATGAGAGTCAGCGAAAGGTGGAAGACTTGACTTGTAGCAGAAGAGAAGGCAAAGTATATGGGCACAGAAGCAGTAGGTAGGCAGGTTGATGGTGGTAGAGGGTTCGTCTCATGGAACTCCTCATCTGAGTGTTCCTGTTTTATCAATGAAAGAGGAAGCAAAGTCATTGAGAGTGAGAAAGGAACAGGAGACTTATAGGTTTGAGGGAGATAGAAAATTGTTGAACTCCATGAAATGCCCATCTGAAAAGAGCGGCCCTGATTGGAGAATGAGACAGGACAGCTTGGTTGGTTGGTTGGGTGTCTCTGGCCACATACAAGAGTATGGGTACACATTAGGTGAGTTATATTTAATTAGAGTTGAAGTTTTGTCACCTGGGTGTGGAAGAGGGAAGATGAAGGGGTTGAAAGTGAATGGTATAGATTATGATGATAGACTATGGAACATGAGCTGGGTGTGGAGGAGATGAGAGAATGAAAAAGTGGTTAGATCATTGACTTGTAGGTCTTTTGGGTAGAAGAATTTGGCACTGGTTAATAGGAATGAGCTGGAAAAATACGTAGTGTTTGGAGAGTGGAATGTGATGGGAAATTGGGAATGTAAGTTGCACTCTGATCAATGTAAGACCTAGAGAGCGCTAATAGAAATACACACGTGCCACAAATCAGCCTTTCTGAAGAAGCTGCGTTGATAAAAATAAACAGGCGATATGATTTTATTGTATTTTATTTAGTCCCTTCTTAAAGGAGGTAATATGGTGGAATGAGTGGTAAGAATGTAGTCTTTGAAATAGAGAAAGCCTGTGTTTTGATTAAATCTCTGCAGCTTGCTACCATGTGCAGTTAGCCTCTCTCAACCTTACTTTTCCCATCCTTAAAATGCCTCAGTGGGTTATTGTGGGGTAAAATAGGGCACTTGGTATGTAGAAAGTAATGTCTTGGTCTCTCTCAGTCCCTCCTTCACATCCTTAACAAAGACATGTTTCTGAAACACATCTGACATGTGAGTTTCACATCTAAAAGCTCTGGTTTTCCTCCACCTGTTCAAACTCTAGGCTCACTTAGTGGGTCCTTTTGGGATCTGGCCACTGATCCTTTTCCATCCCTATCTCTGCAACTCACTCCTCCCTCCCCTGAAGTTGTACCCTGTTTGTCAGATAAATAAAACAGTGTACCTGCTGGACTGTTTGATTTGCTGATTCTTCTGCCCTTTCAAGATCCAATTCAAAGGTCACCTCTGTGAATGTACCACACACACTAATCACTTTAATTGCGCCCCTCTCGGGACCCCATAGGATTGTACATCATGTATTCTGTGTCTGTGACTGGATTGTGAGTTCTGAAGTCCCCAATTATATCTCTAGTACCTAATGGATTCTTTTAAAGAATCGTTTTAATCAACTGTACAGGCTTACTTATGAAGAAAAAATTATACTATAAATGTGGGGGGATTACTTACACATTCTGCCTCCTTTGGACTCTGTGTGTGTGTGTCTGTGTGTCTGTGTGTCTATCTGACATGCCTGACCATGCCAAAACACCTTCCCTTTCATGAAGAAGGCACTTAAATCCCTCTGGAGCCTCTCCCATCTCTTCACATAGAAGTGGGTGAGTTCCTGGAATTTCCTCAGCATCTTGTACCCTAGCTCAGTGTCAGGGCCTGTCCCCCAGATGCACAGTAGAAATTCTCTCTCCTCCAGGAGGGCCTAGAACTGTGATGACAAGGACCCCTGTCCTTTCTTAGTTGAAACCCTTGCCTCAGCCAATTGCTTATCTCTTTGTAGAGGTTGAATAAAGGAATTTGCAAGCCCAAATTTTCTGAATAGTTGATATGCCAATGAAGTAAATGAAGAGGTCCTATTACTTTTTCCTTTAAGATCCTTGTGACAATAGCTTTATAACCTTATAATCTTCCAAAAAGAATGTCCAATGCTGACTAAATAAAAATTGGTGGAAACACCTGTGTGTATAAGCATGCACTCATGCTTCTTTTCTTTTTTGCAGTGCTGGGGATTGAACTCAGGGCCTTGTGTATGCTAAGCAAGTGCTGTACCACTGAGCCATAGCCACAGCCCTGTGTTTATTTTTTTAACCTTGTTCTTTTATTGGAATTAAGTTAAGATGTTTGTGTTTCACAAATTTTTTAAGCAAAAATATGCCTGTTTCCCTGGGAAATATATGTGTAGTTAAAACATTTGGAAAAAAACAAACTTGAATTTTGAATTCTTTTTCTTGTAGATTGGGATGTGGTAATGCCAGCCAGACTTCTGAGAGCCCTGTCCGGATCACACAGTGTATTATCAAAATCACATCTGTGCAGAAGACTTGTTCATCTGACATTAAAACCACTTAAGGAATTTGAAAATACCACATGCAGCAGCACCCTGGCAATCCATCAGACCTTGGATTCATTCTTTCCCGTTACAGCAGGTGGTGGATTGAATAAGCCTCAGATCCTGGAAATGAACCAGGTAGTATCAGCTGCAAACAAACTCTCTCCAATAGCTGCTGTGCATTGCTGGGATGAAAAAGCACACCTTCCAACCATGAACTTGCTTGGCATTCAGAGGAATGTGATCCACAATCCAAATCTCTTGGATTCTAAGTGGTTTATAAAAATATTACAGAGGCATTACTCATCTATCTCAACTGAAACATTTATTCCAAAACAAGACTTTCCGCAGATCAAGAGACCACTGAAAGCATCCAGGACCAGGCAGCCATCCAGGACCAACCTTCCGATTCTGTCCGTGAATGAGGTAAAATTCATGTGGCACTTGTGTTTTGCCATCATTGCTTACTATAAATTAGTTTGCATGTCCACAGCCTTGCCACTAACATAAGGGAACTAGCTACCAGCTGAGGATTCTTTTCAAGATCTTTGAAACCTAACATATAGGAAGGGACTGACAATCTTAATTGTAAAGACTGAGTTGCACATAAAAAGACAAAATAATAGACAATTAAAAGATAAGCAGAGTTTATGAAAGCAGTAGTTACTGGGCCTAAGAAAATTTTGGAAGAGTGTTAAATCCTGTCTGGGACTAGAGCTGTTAAAAAAAAAAAAAAAGAGTGTATTTTTTAATCGAGAAATTCTTCATTAAATCTAAAACTAGACAGATAATTATTTATCATCCCACAAGTGATGCACGTGGGGTGATGAAATGACACAGCAAGGTAGAATCATAAAACCCCCTTTAAGGAAGTGTTTTTTAGTCACTGTTAAGAAGTTAGGGGATTTTTTCAGCTACAATTTCCATTTCTTCTCTAAATGATAAACAATTTAAGGTCAGATCAAGACCTTTTGTTAGCCTTTGTATCTTGCGTATTACCTTGAACTGTGCTTGTACATAATAAGTGTGCAGTAAACTGGAAAGGATGGAAAAAAGACCAGTGATCTTTACAGTCAACATTCACCAACATTGAAAAGAGGATTGTAGAGCTGTGGCACAAACCTGTAGCCCAGCTACAAGGAGGCTGAGGTAGCAGAATCACTTGGGAAATTTGAGGTCAGTATGGACAACCTAAAAAGACTGTTTCAACAAAGCAAAACTATGGGAACATAAATATTTTAAACTGAATTAGGTCTTCTGAATCTAGCAGAACACAGGTTAAGATGATGGTCTTCAAATCTTGATTCTAAATAGACATTGTCTGGGTGTTTTGTTTTGTTGTGCTGTGCTCTGGTTTCAAAAAGGTACACTCCTTCAAGAGCAGTCCTCAGATTATGGAGTAGGCCATGAATGGTTCTTATTTCAGGATCCTCATTTGGTTTCACCTCTTGTGAGGTTTCTGTACCCCCAGAATGTAAAGGATGGGAGTGCTTGCAGAAGCCACTCTCGTGTCTGCCTTCTCCTGATGTAGTCTGGGAAATTCATATTCAAATCCCTGTGGTGACAGTAATGGGGATCATGTCAAATCCAGAAGGAGACTTTTTCCTGTCATTACTTCTGACAGCACCATGCATCTGGTTTCTTGTGAAGAAGTGGATATGGTGAATGAAATCCCCTCTTTGTATAGTTAGTGGTTATGAACAATCAAAGATACTTTGTTCTTTGGGCTGCCCTTAGACTTAGAAGCGGTTTCCTGAATTCCACTTTTATTTTCCTTCAGGGTTTGAAGATTTTCAAAATTCAACACAGTTTCAAATGAGGTGATAAAAGTATTCAAATTGAAGACAGAGTGAACTTGTAGCCACAGAGAAGTAAATGTTATCAGGAAGCTCCTATGAATAATCTAATTGAACATTTAGCTCTGAGAAGCCCATCAATTAAGAAAAGAGAGAATGTTGGGTTGTTCATTTTGTCTTATCTGAGATGAGGTTGAGGATTGGAGGAGGCCATACAAATGTCTTAAGAGAAATAACTTTTCCAGTGTTAGAGTTGAGAAGTCATTTATTTCAGTTTTAGTTTTGCAAAAACAGAAGCACCAAGTTGTCTTTCTAAATGCATAGAAAAATAATAGAAAACCTTCATATCTCTAAAGTGACTTGAGGTAATACAATTGTAGAACATTATTCTCCATGGATTTTATCTTTCATAGTAAAAGCTGTCTTGAGGTGTGCCTAAGTAACTTATCCCCAGGACTCAACTGACTTTTATCTGCCCCACATTGAGGACCACTCCACTTTCATAAGGGTGTCATAGAGCTGATGACTCTTTTGTTACAGGGTGACTCTTTCCACCACTTTTGACCAGACAGGAGAAGGCCTTGGGTATGAGAAAGCACGCATCTCCTCTCGTTCTGTGCTTCCTCCAGAGCATCGGCTGAGTGCAGCTTCAGTAACCCTCCACACTGAAATTAAGTCTTTACTTAGTTGCACTTGCCTTGATCGTACCTTACTGAGATATTCAGCCCACATCCTGCTGGCTTATCATTTAGAGAGCGATGTCTTGTCCGTAAGGAGCAGAATGCTAGAGGATGAGACCATCCAGTCTGCATAATAAGAAGACTGGCAAATGGGGGACAGTAGAATGTTGACACTAAAGCGTGATGCTAAATTAACCAGTGGAGTCTTCATCACTTTTTTAAAAAAAGAAGATAAAATAGAAAATGCCAAAATGTATCCCATGATAAAGATAAATACTGGCTTGTGAAACTTTGTGGCAGTTATTGGTGTGTGCCTACCTATGTGTATGTATGGCTTATATAAAATGATTTCTCATCACAGGTGGTAATAACAAAGGTTTAGAAGCATTGTGGTATGTACCTGCATTTTATAATTTTCATTGACAGTCAGTACATAACAGGAAAAAGTGTATTTTCCCTTAGCAAGTACAATCTATTTCCATCACAGGACTCTGACACAAAGACTTCAGGGGTTTCCCCCATCAGTGAATTCTCAAATTGTCTGAACACTAACAGGGTATCCTACAATTAATTTCAACTTTGACACCAGCCAGTTTGTGCAGATTGTATCCAGTCCCACAGACTGCCCTCCACTTCAGACACCAGTCTCAAATTGCAGGTTAATACCTACTTCCATCCAACCGGCTATAAATCAGAGGCTCCCACAGACCCCTCCTCAGGTTGGCTAGTTTGCTAGAATTGCCCACTGAACTCTGGGAAACATTTCACTTAAGTTTGCTTGCTTATTATCATGAAGGACACATACAGACAGCCTGAGAGGTACACAGGTTGAAGTCCAGAAGCGCTGGGAGCATACCAGCCTCTGTTCTTAGGGAGCCTGAGTATGCCACCTTGCTGGCCTGGGAATGTCTTCACTGATATCCCCTCGTGTAGGTGTTTCATGGAGGTTTCATGACACAGGCATGATTAGTTATTGACTTACTGTTGGGCCCCTCCTCCTGCCCCTGAAGTGGTGGGGTGGGGCTGATAATTCCAACCTTCTAATAAGGTTTGTGTTTCTGGCAGCCAGCCCCCAGCCTAAAGCCATATAGGAACCTATCAGGAGTCACCTCATTAGAACAAAAGTATTCTTGTCACTCAAGAAATTTCAGGGAATTTAGCAGCTGTGTGCCAGCAACCCAGAGGCAAAGACCAAATAGTACAGCCAAAGATGCACCTGTTACTCCATATCACTTAGGAGGTTGCAAGGCTACAAGAGCTCTGTGCCAGGAGCCAATGATGAAGACCGAATATAAATTCCTTACTATCTCCCTATCACAGTTAAGTAGAAGCAGTACACTAATTGCCTTCAGTTATAGTACATGACCAGTGTGTTTTTCTCAGAGCGGCTGATGCTATCAAACCAAGAAGCATGTATAGATACCTAGCCCCATCTGCTGGAATATGTCTTCTGTGCTCTTTAAAACACATACTGAAATACAGTGAATTTTTTTTTTTTTTTTTTTACATTTTAGAGTGGAAATTATTAAATTTGAGTTCTAAATCCAATTACTATTTTAGGTTGGTTTGGCACATCTATTTAAGAACAAGTTGCCGACCCCTGCCTAAAACCCTGAGATTGGCTTTACATATGTACATGTAACTAGTACTTAGGAAACAAGGAGTCACTGTAAAAAGTCAAAAAAAGACATGTACGAAAATGAAATTTCACCAGGTAGTGGCACCTTTAACTAATAAGGAAAATGCAAAGACAAAACACTCTATCCTTCTCTTTCCCTTTACCAAACTGGCTTAAGTCAAAACTTGACATTTAAAAGCAAAGGGTATAAAACCAAGATGTCAAAAAAAGTCAAATTTTAAAATTCGTGAAGTATCATAGAAGAAGCCCAAAACCTACAGTAATGTGGGTAAGCCATGTTAAGCATGTGACATGGAAAGAACTTGGAGCCAAACTAATAACATGCGGGAAAAAAGCAAAGATAACAATCTGCAGAAAACCTATGACGAGACTTAGAATGGCTGAGTGAAAACAGATTATATTTAAGGATTTATTTGTAAGCTCTTTGGGGCTCTGGATATATTTTTGCATAAAAAGTAGTGATTGAATGATTTGCCATGCCCCATCTGCTGACGGACCAAAATAGTAAGAATTTTAGCACAGCGGGGCTGGGCCAATAATATAGAGGAAACAAGCGTGAGACCCGGTGTCCCTTGTGTGACCCCAGTCCTTGATGGCCAGTTCTTCCTCTTGGTCAAAAGATGGTGGAAATTTGGATTTTGTGTGAAATCTCTTGATTTATTGTTGACAGCTCACCACTCCCGATTCTAGAGAAGCCGATCGATCGCCTCTGCCATGCTCAATGTAGTTACGGGACGTCCTATACTGGTTTTTCTTTTTTTTGTGGTGCTGGGGTTTGAACTCAGGGCTTCACGCTTGCTAGGCGGGTGCTCTACCACTTAAAACACTCCTCCAGTCCCCTCTACTGGTTTTTGACCTTTTTATCTCCTGTCTTTTTGTGCCTCTGCTCTTCTACTCCAGCCCAGACTGAGCCCATCAGTGTTCATGAAGTCATTCTGATACCCACCCTATTCACTGATTTTGCAGTTCCTCAGGCCTCGCTGAGTGGAGCCTATCTGCTGTGGACAGGCATTCCTAAGACATCCTTTCTTTCAGCTGGCTTAGACTCTGCTCCCATGTCAGTTCTTTGTAACTCCATGGAGCCATGCAGGTCTAAACCACGTCAATAACTTCCTCTTCTTTGGCTCTCTTAATCCATCTTTCACAAGTAACTGTGGGAACTAGCTGATCAGCTTATCTACAAAAGGAGGGCACTATGTCAATTTATCCCTACATTCCCCACTAATTCCAGCTTGTCCGACTTGATCTCTTCTGGGTGAATTGCCTATACTTATAGTAGGTATTTTATCGGTTTAGATCTTTCAGTTTGTGTGGATCCTGAAGTCCTGCATTTTTTCTTCTACTTTTTAACCACACACAGAGAATGTGTAACAGATGGAGGAAAAAGCAAAACCGGGTCAGACTGTTTCTTCAGAAAGGACAGGAGTTAGGTAGCAGGAGTGGAAAGAAGAAAGGAATTCCTACGCCATTTCTCCAGAATTCCCTCCTGGGAATTCCACAGAGTGGGGAGGCTTTAGAAGCTGGGATGAGGAAGTCCTAAGAATAAATGCTGATTTAAGAATAAATGACTCATAAGCTGCTTTTGACCAACTATATGCTAGCAAGTGTTGACCAATCCTGAGCAGTTCCTGTTTATCAGCTCATCTAAACTCTTTATAGCAACCTTATAAAGTAGGCATTGTTACTCTAATTTTCTTTAATTTCCTGGTTAAATTTCTGTATCTGAAATCTTAACTCTTATGCTGATAGCTTTCAAACTTTTTTGACATCTCTAGTGAGAAATAAAATATTTTGCATACATAATGACCCAGCATGCATACATAGACAGAAAACTTCACATTCGCTCTTATCATGAGTAATGCAGTGCATTTCCTATTTATTTATTTTTTTATTTACTTTGCTGCACTGGGATCAAACCTAGGACCGTGGACATGCTAGGCAAGCCCTCGACCACTGAGCTACACCCCCAGTCTTATTTTGTTTAATTTTTAAAAAGCTGGTTTGCACCAACTAAACTGATGTCAGCGCTCACTAAAGGACTGTAACCTACAGTTTAAACTAGCTTTGCATATTGTTTATGGCATGTATATTGCGTAGGCACGCAATACAGATACATGTACATACAGACAAGACTCCTGGCAAATTCCCAACTACACCAGAGCACATTCTCAGATTTGCAAGCTTTTGTGTTTACTGTTAACCAAAGTAAAAATGCTGTAATTCTTTGATGGTTTTAAGGACTCTCTGCCAGTACAGGCTAGTGAAAATTTTTAAATGACCCCAAATACGTTGCTGTGAAAGAGCCATGGAAGCTCAGGGCTAGAAAGGCTTTACACGTCATTTCATCTGGGCCACCAGATGGCGTGTTGCTTCTCTTTCCAGGATAACCCAACTATCATCTTTTTGGCAAGTAGAAACAAGTTCTTTAATAGCTTGGGCTGAAACTCTTGTCTGTGTAACTTCTCTGTCTTTGGCCTCATCACATCCCTGGAGTACACCTTTAAGATGTTTGAAGAGAACTCTTGCGTGCTGGCTTTGCTGAACAGAGTCCCCTAAGGGGACACAGCAGCCATCACAAGTGCTTGCTTGATCCTCTTGGTAACCGGTTTTGTGCTCATTCCCAAAACAGAACCTGATGCACTGCACAGCATTTGCAACAGCAGATGAGTATCATCTGGGAAATCTGTCTCAAGATCTGACCTCCCAGGGATATGTGGAAGTAACAAGCTTGCCCAGAGGTACTTCTGCTTGAACCTGGGTCCAAGTATATTAAAATGTAGTAGAAAATAACTCTCCTGTGATAATGTCTTAAGTATGCATTTGTTTGCATTTCATTTGGTATTGAAAGGATTGTATCATACAGGTGATGGCAAAAATTGTTATACAAATGATATTTGCATATATGTATAATATATGTTTATAGAGAATTTAGTTCTCAGATTAAAATCAGTGATTTATTAATCTTTATTTTTAGGATCACTTTCTTGGGAAGGTCAAAAGCTATGTGTGCTAGCTTTCTGTTGCTGTAACAAATATCTGAGATAAATCAACTTAAAAAGAGGAAAGGACCAGGTACCAGTGACTCACACCTATAATTCTAGCTACTTGGCAGGCTGAGTGAGGGAGGATCACAGTTCAAGGTTAGCCCAGGCAAATAGTTCTCAAGACCCCATCTCCGAAAAATAACTAGAGCAAAATGGACTGGCGATACGGTTTAAGCAGTAGAGCTCCTGTTTTGCAAGCATGAAGCCCTAAGTTCCAAAAAAAGAAAAGTTTATTTTGGCTCACAGTTTTGGAGATTTCGGTGTATAATCACTTGACCGTTGCTTTGAGGTCTGTGGGAGGCAGCACATGATAGTGGGAGCACATTGGAAGAGAAGCTGCTCACATAGTGGTGACCAGGGACCACTCCAAGGGCACACCAATGACCTAACTTCCTCTCACAAGGCCCGACCTCTTCAAGATTCCACCACCTCCCAGTATCACCACCACCTGGGGACCAAGCCTTTAGCACAAGGGCCTTTGGAGACACTTATAGCCAAACCATTGCCCTACAAGGCTACTCTTCTGTAGTATTTAACAGTTATTTAAGGGCTGGGGGCATGACTCAAGTGGTAGAGCACCTCCCTGGCAAGCGCGAGGCCCTAAATTCATACCCCAGTACTGCCAAAAAAAAAAGTTATTTTAATATGATACATCAAACCATAAAATTAATAAAAACAGGGAAAGCCTTAAAACAATTTACCAACTCAATATTTCAAAACTAACAAAAATTAGTCAAAAGGTAAACACATGAATATCAGAAAATTTAACTGAAGATTTTTGGGAAAGTATTAGAAAGATTCTTGATGGGTGTGGTAGGACACGCCCATAATCCCAGCACTCTGGAGGCTGAAGCAGGAGAATTGTGACTTGAAGGGCAGCCTGTGCTACATAAACCCTGTCTCAAAAAGTAAAAAAGATTCTTGAGAAATAGCCTGCCTGTTAGAAGTGCACAGCATGGCGGTACATAGCCTGTAATCCCAGTACTCAGGAAGCTCAGGAGGATGGCAGGTTCAAGATACATAGTAAGACATGAGAGAGAGAGAGAGAGAGAGAGAGAGAGAGAGAGAGAGAGAGAGAGAAGGGAGGAGGGAGGAAGGCTTCCCTGCCACAAAGAGAATTATTTAAAGACTCATTGCCCCACAAGAATGTTGTGATGTCACCATGCTTTCCAGCCTTGATGCTCTGAACAAACTCACGTCTTTGATGATACAGACAAATGGACTTGGAGACGCAGAGCCATGTCCAGAGCCCCTAAAGTCAGGGGCAGCCGTGGCCAATACTAAAGGCTCTTACTAGTGTGGTTCTGGGTGTTGAGGAGCTGGGAATTCATTACCCAGGTCTTTCCCACTGCATTTATGTTGCTTTTGGCTACATAGGTAAACTGTGTCTATGTAGGACGTAGTACTTAAGGGGTTAGAATTCACCCCAAAAAGGTAGTTAAGGATTTTATCTCTGTCTAAATCTCTGTTCCCCAGCCTCTACTAGGAATTCTGAGACTTTGAGGATCTTAATGTTACATTAAGCAATTATAAGACAGATGTGGTGGCACTTGCCTCTAATCCCAGCACGCAGGAGGCTGATGCAGGGGAATTGAGAATTGGAGACCAGTCTGGGCTATATAATGAGACCCTGTTGCAAAAAAAAGAAAAAAAAATATTATATGTAACTTCTTAAAAATTAATAATAGGTATATTAATAATATTGTTTAATTTACATTATAGAATATATACTTAGAAAAATGCTAGTTTACTAATATGTAAAGCAACTACTTATTGGTGGATATTGTTATATTTGATAATTAACATTTAAAGGTTAAAATTTTTTTTACAGTTGCAGTGGTAGTTGTCATGACTAACTTTGAAATACATATGTTTTGAAATGGTCAGTCTTTACTTCTGTATATTTTCTATTACCCCATAATTTACAGAGTATAATTTAGTTCAGCAGAATGAGCAGTTTGTGAATATTATGTTACAATAAGTTGGTGTAATAAAGGAAGAGAAGACATTAACAATGCTTTACATTTTCTTTTAAATTAATTTTCTGGAAAGATGTTTAATTCTTGAACCTTAGTTGTATTGAACCTAACACTTTAATACTTATTAACTGGTCTAGTGAGCACTGAACCAAAATGGATATGAATGAGCAGTTGTAAATAGCATTCCTGATAACATAAAGGGTTGTAGAATGCTTTAGGAAAGTCATTTCTTGTGTCTTTTTCATTTTCATGTCTTAAGTCCCTTCCAAAGTCTTAGTAGATAGTTGGAGATTGTGTGGAGTACTTGTGGCATATAAGAGAATCATAAGTACTTCTTACAAATGTTTATAGGTGACTTTCAGACCTTATGTCACCTCTTGTCATAGATTTTTTGTTGATTTATTTTAACTCACAGATGCAGCAAATATTTTGGTGATGGGTGTGGAAAATTCAGCAAAAGAAGGTGATCCTGGAACAATATTCTTCTTCAGGTAAGACAGGATAGAAACCCCACTGGAAAGTTGGTTAGTGGTCAGGTAATTGTGGCCTATAGATACACATGTCTTCAAGGTATGCTTGTGAGCTGAGTTTATCATTGGATTCCTTTGATCTAGGAGAGATTGCCAGGTTTAGGAGTCCCCTTCTAAAATGAAGAATTGTTAAAACAAGTAAATAGTCTTCCCCAGGGTTGTCTTTGTTTGTAAACGTGGGTTTTCATCAGTGAAGTTTCCAAAACCATCCATTCATCGTCAGTGCCCCTTATTGGAGTCTTGCCACCCCGTCCATCCCTGCTGTCCTTTTCTTCCTATCCTTTCCGGAGCAGCTAAAATTTTAACCAACTTACTTCCCCCAGAGACTTCAGATGGGACCGTGGCTCACATATGCTTGTTCCTCTCATTTAAAGATTGTCCTCCTACCAACTAATGTAAAGAGGCCCACTGGGGGTGATCGTAATGGAAGCCACATAAGATAACCTCCTCACCACACTCGGGAAGTCTGTTATTCCCATTTTGCAGCTGAGGAAATGAAGAATCAGAGGATTCAGTGAGTCACAGATAGCTGTGGGACTAACAAGTGGCAGAACAGAAACATATGGGCCAACCATAAGAGTGCATAGAGTGTGTGCCTGGCAAGGGTTAGATCCTGGGTTCAGTCTGCAATACCAAAAAAACTTTTTAATTCAAAAACAAAACAAATCCAAACTTTGTCAGAGGACTTTTGTGGTCTTAGTACTTGCAATTGATGAAAACTGGAAGCCCTAATATAATTGGCACTTCAGGTGTCAGTCTTATCTAGTTCCTACAGGATAGGATCTGAATCATACTCATCTTTTTATCCCAAATACTAAAATAAGCATAGACCACACATCTACTAAGCACTTAAGAAATGTGCAAAGAATGATAGGAGCCCATCCCTGCCATTCTAACTTTCCTTCCTCCAGGGCCATAACCCAAAGTCATACCAAAAACTGCTCAACACAGCAAATCTCAAACATGAAGCCAAGTTCATTTATAATGTTTAGACCTTAATCTCTATCAAAGCCAGAATTGGTACAGAGGGACTTCTGTGGCTTCATCATAGCTGTTTAAGTATTGTGTGATGGGGAGGTTTATTCTACAGAAGCTGTTAACTCTCAGAGCTTTAGTTGATCTGAATCTCTCTACCATAACTGTTAAAAACATGACCCTTGAGGTGGAGGTGTGGCACAAGTGGCACAGTGCCTGTTTAGCAAGCACAAGGCTCTGAGTTCAAACCCCAGTAATAGGGGGAAAAAAATGTATTCTATCTTTAACTTACTTGCTTCTCTTACTCTTTTAATCCAGGGAAGGAGCTGCTGTGTTTTGGAATATAAAAGACAAAACAGTAAGTATAAGTAAATTGTAAAAGTATAAATATTTAGTTTTCTAAGAACAAATTGTTAATTAGCACTCCATTTGAGATACTGGAAGATGAATTAACAGATAACCTGCAACTTGCTTGTCCTGCATTATGTGATATCCCATTAGTTTTATCTTCTAAAATATATTTTATTTTGGCTTATTTTTTAAGTTTTCTACATTTTCAGTTCTCTGGGCACACATTAATTTGTAAAGAACCCAGATCATCCTAGCGACACTGTGGAAAGAATTATATTTGCTCGCACAAAGTGCATGATGTATATATGGTTTATTGGAAGCTGGTTAAATTGATGCATATTTGAGATCAAACTTTCTAGAACTTATCACTCATAGGAAATAATTTCTTCAGTATCCAAGTCTGGATTTGTTTAATACAACCTTTTTAAAGATAATTTGGTAGTATACATCAAAACTTTTTATTTCACCCAGCAATTTTACACACAGAAAATTATCCAAAGGAAATAATCACAGATACGCATGATGAATTCTGCAGAGAAATGTTCATCAAAGTATTGTTTACATTAGCAAAGATTAGAAATACCTGAAGTACACAGCAATAGAAAGTCTTAAATACATCCGTCAGATAAAATACACTACAATTCTTAAAAAATCACATGGAAAAATACCTGCTTTCAGGTAATTTCTTATGTGTATGTTGCAGTTAGATACACAGTTATAACCAATCAGTTTTTTTTTTTTAAAGTATGCTGCCTATGATCCCAGTTTTACTAAAAGGAAATAAGAAATAGGCTCACATACAGTGGGGTGGGGAAGGGATCCTGAAGAAAAGAAAATGTAGATGACCAATAAATGTGAAGAAGACTCAAACAAACTGGCTGCCTGAAATTGCAAAGATCCAAAAAGCTGATAGTACTCTAGTTTTTTATGAACAATCTCATACATGCTTGGGTTTAAAAATTTTTTTTCTTTTATTCATATGTGCATACAATGTTTGGGTCATTTCTCCCTGCTACCCCCCACCCCCTCCCTTCCCCCACCCCATGTTTTAAAATTAGAAAAACTGTTCTAGAAAGCAGTTTAGCAAACTATATAAAAATTACGAGAATATATGTCTTTTTCTTTTTGGCATTGCTGGAGCTATCTGGGACCTCAAGCATGCTAGGCAAGTGCTGTACCACTGAGGTGCACCCCCAGCCCACATGTCTTTTGATATAGCAGTTCCTAAAGAAATAGTCCCACAGGGGCATGAAGATAAACACACAAGGATGATGCATGGAGACGTTGTAATGGTGGAGAGTAGAAATCACTCCCCATGGACAGACATCTAGGATGGCTAAGTAACCATAGTCCCTCCTAATAGGAGGGTAGTGTTCAGGATGTCTACATGCATAGTGTGACCCCACTTCACACAAAAGATAAAATAAATGTTCATAGCCAGGCTCATGGCAAAAAGAAAAAACATAGGAAGATATGCACCAAAATATCATGGTACCTCTGAGGATTCGGCCTCCAGGTGAGAGGTGAGAGGCTCAGAGAGAGTGGTCGCTTCTGCACCTTTCTTGTTTGGATTTTACATGTACTTGCCCAGACACTGTTTTTAGAGATGTAATAAATACAAACCACTGGTGATTTTCTTTAGATTGTGGGATAATGATCATTTTTCTTTTCCTTTTTATGCTTATGTATCTTACAAATGTAAGAATAAATGAAGCCAGTGCTGGTGGCTCACGCCTGTAACCCTAGCTACTCAGGAGGCAGATATCAGGAGGATTGAGGTTCAAAGCCAGCCCAGGGAAATATATTTGTTTGTGAGACCCTATCTCAAAAAACCCTTCTCAAAAAAGGGCTGGTGGGGTGGCTCAAGATGTAGGCCCTGAGTTCAAACACCAGTACCGCAAAAAAAAAAGAAAAAAAGAATAAATGAACATGGTATCCTGATTATTTTAATATCACAATGAGTTTTCCTTTTCCTTAAAAACTAAGCGGCCGATAACATGAAAATGTCATAAGCACTAGTCCATAATATGCTATACCAAGGGAGTCGGTTTTAATTTCAGGCTAATGTTCCTTTTCTCCTAGATGAAGCATGTAATGCAAATTCTAGAGAAACACGAAATCCAGCCCTACGAAGTTGCACTGGTGCACTGGGAAAATGAGGAGCTTAACTACATGAAAGTAGAGTAAGCAATTTCTAATCAAATTTATGAAAAGGGCTCTTGGATAAAAACTAGGTAGAGTACTAGAGAGATAAATTATTTGTGAAGACTAATTTTAAGTACACATAGAAAGCTTAAACCAAAATAATGAATATTAAGGAATACATGTATATTTTTTTTAACTTCTCAGGCTCTCTACAAATTAAAAAAAAGTAGAAAGCTTATATTTTCTAAGGAGCCTAAATCAATAAAATACTATGCCTTCATTAGAATGAACAAATTACTAGTAAAGTTTTCTCTTTAAGTAAATCCATTTTTCCTTGATTTTGAGAACAAAAGGTAAATAAAGGAAATATAATGTGATCTGAGAGAACCACTTGTATAAACGCGGGTGATTGCAAGAAGCAGGGCCTGACATACCATTCAGATAACGGTGTATGGGTGGCACAGCCTAGCTGATTTTCCTGCCTTAGTAAGGGGAGAAATGTTAGGGCATAGAGAGAAGCTAGAATGAATAAGGTAGAAAAGTCTCTTTCCTCCTGGAGTCCCCTATCTACTGCGATATGAAAAAAGTCTTTGTAGATTCTTAGAAAGGAAGTGTTGAACAAGAGCTTTAGGAAAAACTGGAAGAGACCCTACCTGTAGAAGACCAGATAAGAATTAGCAATAGGAGCCAGCAATGACTAACTGCTCACATTGTGCCCGCCACTTCTCCCAAATGCTTTCTGTGTGCCACTCTCTTCATTGCATTCTGCTAAGAGCCCTGTCAAGTGCGTGAGGGCCTGGGCCCATGGTGGCGGCACTCACGTGAAGATGCAACCCTGAGACTCACAAATGAGGAGCTTATACTGTTTTATTATTATTAAGCCCTCAGTTTGTGGTTATAGTTCCCATGAATTTCCCTTCTGTGCTCAATTTCCAGATCCAACTGTCATTTGCTAGACCCTTATGTGTGAGCCTACCTACACACACACACACACACACACACACACACACACACACACACACACACACACACACACACACACACACACACACACACCACAGTATGTGAAGGAGTAAAATCCTCAAGGATTTGGATCCCAGAAAAAGCTGTTTAGTTTTGTCAAAAACGCCACCATCGCTGCTTTTTGAGCCATTATTGAGTCATGCCTAGAGTCCAGGAGTCCCCCTGCCTCCCTGTGTTCTATGGTGCCAGCCAAGCTCATTCATAAAGCATCCCGCTCACTCTGCTCTCTTTCTGGTCTCCTTTTTTCCCCCACCCGAGGTAGTCAGAGCAGATTCTGCCCTCAGAGCTCCCATTAGACCCCGTGTCCACCTCCCATGTGCATCTCTTCTGGCCTCATGCTGACGATGGCTGCCCTATGCGATTCCTGCTTGCTTGTGATGGTGACATTCACAAATTCCCTCCCTCCTTGCACTCCCAGTCCCTTCCAGAGCTTTGTGAGTGCACCTTGATCTTTCACAACAGCCCTGTCTCCCTCCCCATCCCACCACATCACCATGATTTCAGATCCTTCTGCCTCAGCCTCCTGAGTGCCAGAACTAGAGGCTCGTGCCATCAAATCCTGCTCTTTTTTTGTCCTATGGAATTACTAATATGCTCCTATTGAGTATTAAGTTTCTTTCCTAGACAGGCGCCAGTGTGGCTTATGCCTGTAATCCTAGCTACTCAGGAGCAGAGATCAGGAGGATTGAGGTTCAAAGCCACCCAAGTAAACAGTTCTTGAAACCCTATTTCAAAAATACCCAATACAAAAAAGGGCTGCCGAAGTGGCTCAAGTGTAGATTACCTGCCTAGCAAGCATGAGGCCCCGAGTTCAAACTCCAGTACTATCACACACACAAAAAATTATACTTTCTTTCCTAATGTTTTACTTTTAACCATTTGACCATGAAAACAATTTTTTTGTACTCAAATCTTTCTATATATCTGTGATTATTTCTGTGGGATAAATTTCTAGGAGTAGAATCACTTGGATCAAAGGGTATGACATGGCAGACTGGAGATGTGGCTCAAGTGGTAGAACACCTGCCTAGCAAGCACAAGTTCAAACCCCACTACAGTCAAAAAAAACCAAAAAAACAAAGACGTAATGTGACGTAAAATGACCTCTAGAAATCCTAGAGTTTCAAGTGAGAAACTTGAAAGTGTTTATAAGATTTTGAAGATACTTTTCCTTTCCTTTTCACAGGGGGCAGTCTAAACTTCACAGAGGGGAAATCAAGTTAAATTCAGAGCTGGATTTAGATGACACCATTCTAGAAAAATTTGCATTCTCCAATGCTCTTTGCCTTTCAGGTAAGTTACTGCAGCATTTTGAAGAAGGTTTCACACAGTTTTCATTTCATCAGGGGAAGTGTAAGCCTTTGATTTTGACATGTTTTCACAGAACACTCAACACTGCCTTGGCATTCCTTGTTTTTTCCTACAGGAAAACATGTTTTATTAAAACATGGGTAACTGCTGAAGTTACCCAGTCCTTGTAAATTCTGTTTAAAGCCTCCTTTTGCCAAAAATGTGTTTTATATTATTGTCACTGCTCTTGTTTCCTCTCCACTCCTTTGCATGACTATTTATTTAAGTAGTCTCTGATCTAGACAGAGACAGCCCAGCCCTGTGACAGGGCACAGTCTACACCCCGTGTTTCACAGGAATGGGACAGAGTCACAGTGGCAGTGGCTGTGAGTTTATTCTGAAAGATCCATGCACCTTATAGCACAAGTTCCATGGGAATTTCTTTGCTGGCAGTCTGCATCAGGATCTTCCTGCTGTGACTTGTCCCCACCCTCTAGGCAGCCTCAGAGACTTTGCATTTTACTCCTAGCTCTGAGAAGTGCAAGGGGAAATCACACCTGAGTGACACGGTGTGCCTTTCACCTCTGGGTTTCCCAGATGTGGTGTTAGAAAATCAGGAGTTCTACTAGATGTAGCTGCAGGCTGCCACCAGGGTTCGAAATCTGAGCCTCCTATCTGTTTTTATGTTAGGGCTGTCCTTTGACATATTAACATCTACTTTTAGTTTTAGTTTCGAATTGGCTTCTTTTTAATTTGTTTGTGAGGGGAAGGTGTTTGGTTTGGATTTTTTTGTTGTTTTGTTTTTAGATTTTGAGAAAGGTTCTTGCTATGTAGCTCAAGCTGACCTCAAACTCGTGATCTTCCTGTGTCAGCCTCCTGTGTGCTGGGATTATAGGCATGTGCCACCTTGCCTGGCTGCACATTTGCCTTTTAAACCATTGCTAAAATGGCAGCAAAGACAATGTGCAGTTATGCACTCTGTATAAACATGAGCATGATGATAAAGAAATGTTCCATGTTAATTTTTCTCCCCAGTGAAACTGGCTATTTGGGAAGCGACACTGGATAAATTTATTGAGTCTATTCAGTCAATTCCAGAGGTAATTATATCAATTTTATGCTTGTTTTCAAGGGTTGATTTCAGTATTATTGGAGTTTGAACCCAGGTCCTCGAATTTTCTAGGCAGGCACTCTACCAGTTGAGACATGCCCCTGGCCCTTCAAGGATTGCTTTCTATAGGGGAAAAACACAAATTTCTCAATATAACAATAAGCACATGAGTTAAAAAAAAAAAAAGTAATAGTAAGCAGTAGGAAAGCAAAGAAAATACCTTTCAATTATATGTAAAATGATGAGATAAGATTTTCAAATTGTTTTCACTTTTTAAAACTTTAAATTACTTTTCTTGTGATGGCACAGTGGGTTTAATATAACTAAATTATTGGAAAAGAATGGGCCGGGGACATAGCTTAGTGGTAGAGCACTTACCTAGTACACACAAGGCTCTGGATTTTCTGCAAAGAAAAAAAATGGCGAGAAAGAAAAAAGTAAGTGACATTTTTCCTCTCATGAAGGCGATATTAACACTTTTTCATGATTAAATAAAAGTATTTTCCTAATCTTTGAGAAAAGTGGTAACATGAATATATTTTTGTATAAACTTACTATATAAAGTTTTAAATATGTAAAGTTGCTAAATTTTGAGAAAATTAGTGGTATAAAAATGCATATAAGCTTACACTATATAGTTAGAATTATGTAAAGTTACATTAAAATTTCAAAATGCATTAAAAATCATTTTTACTTGTAACTAATTTTGTTTTTATTAGGACAGAATATTGTAATTATTCTTGGGAAAAGAGGCACTTTTCTGATAAGAGATTAGGAAGGTAATCATAAAAATACTTATGAGAAGGGTGTACTAGCTTTCCGTCACTGTAATAAAATCCACTTAGTACAAGGAAACGTTTATGTGGGCTCACAGTTTGGTGGTTTCAGTTCACAGTTGGGTAGACTCATTGATTTACGTGATAGAGCAAGCTGCTTAGCTCATGGTACTGGGAAACGGGAAGAGGAGTGACCAGGGTCCCAGTATCCCCTTCAAGGGCAAGTTGGCAACCTAACTTCCTTCCATTAAGTCCCACCTCCAAAAGGTTCCACCACCACCTAACAAGGCAAGGACCTGAGCCTTTGGGGGACATTCAAGATCCAAACAACAGTGAAAGGGGAAAAAAAAGGTATAGACTTTCTGCTTAAGAAGATTTGAAGTCTTGCTGGGCACTGGTGGCTCATGCCTGTAGTCCTAGATACTTGGGGAGGTTCTGTGCCAGCCCAGGGATATAGTTCTTGAGACCCCATCTCTAAAATAACCAGAGGAAAATTGGACTGGAGGTGTGGCTCAAGTGGTATAGCACTTGCACTGGAAGTGTAAAACCTTGAGCTCAAACCCCAGTCCCACCAAAAAAAAGATTTTGTTATCTTGGAGTGAGTTAAGACATGTTATCTGGGAGAGAGTCTTACGTAAAATTACGTTCCTTCAGAATTTGCTTGATGGACCTAATACTTTCTGAAATGATGCATACATAGACCTCCCTCAGTATCTGTGGAGGATTGTTATAGGACTCCCTCCTCACCACCCTAACACCTGTGGGTGCTCATGCTAATACAAAATGTATGTGCATATAACCTATGCACACCCTCTTACATACTTTAAATACTCTGTAGATGTGCAGTACCTAATGCAATATAAACACTATGTAAATAGTTATGCCATACAGTTTAGGGAGTTCAGAACAGATGCAGCTGTCTTTAAGATTTCCTATCTGTGGTCAGAATCCACGGGTACAGATACAGAGGGCCAGCTGTGTATGTGGTTTGTTTTTTTTTTTCCCCTCTCTCCAAATAGGCTTTAAAAGATGGGAAGAAAGTGAAACTATCTCATAAAGAAGTTATGCAGAAAATGGGTGAACTCTTTGCCCTAAGGTAAAAATTTTTCTTGTAAATAAAATATTTCATATATTTAACAATCTCAGGAAAATATTCCTGTAGTTCTGTAATAAGGAGAAAACATTTAGACTTTTCTGGGAATTTTGCTATTTTCATCTCTTTAATTATAAGCAGGAAGAACTCTTATCCATTAGAAGCAGGTAGGCTGTATTAGGACTAGACATGAGGAAATTCAGCATATACAAAAGAGGTAACTAGTCCACATTAAATCCTCATCAAGGGGCACCATAAGTGTCCTTTGAAGATAGGAGGATATATTCTAGAATTTGCTTAATGCAAATTCCCAGTAAAACAAACATACTCAGCAGACTTCATTGCTACAGAATTGTTCTATACTGTATTCATGGGATCTAAGACACTGTACAATGCAATGGTAAGAAACACCTGCTACTCTGTCATCATAGAACGTATACTTACTGAAACAGCTCTTTCAGTCTTAATCTGGTAGTCTTTCACAGACCCTCTTGAGCACATACACGGGAAAGCATTAAGAAGTAAATTGTTTAAGGTAATGACATCTTAAATCACAGCTGTCACATGTAAGACACCATCAGTTTTAAGATATTTCCCATTTTTAGAGAGTTAAATGGAAGGAACTGAGTCCTAAAACTGATGAAATACAGAAATGCATCATCTTAAATAAATGTCTGGAAAAGCCTTGGATTTATTTTGTTCTTGGAATTTTCCCAGGACTTACAGAATGAAACATGCTGGATATTGGTGTTTCTCTCACTGGGCAGTGTCCATCTCATCCTTTCTTAGATGAATGTTATAGAGCTCTTTGTAAATGTTTACGTAAGAGCTGCCTTTCCATCTCCTCAGGTACTCTGCCTGAGAGAAGTGATCCAGTGTTTTATCAATGCATTTCTCATAGCTCAGGAACCCTAATTCAGGGTCATTCCTTAGAAATATGCCACACTAAGTTCCAAAGCCCCACGCGTTCTCAAAAAGGTGGGATTCTTCTCTCGTGTTCTCTTTGTAATGCAAGCAGAATCTGATACAGCAAATTATAATAATAATAAAACTTAAGAGTCAGGTGTGGTGGCACACAGCACACCTACTGCTGTAGGTGCTCCCAGCTACTCAGGAGGTAAAGGTAGGAGGATAACAGTCTGAGGCTAGCACAGGCAAAAGCACAAGAACCCTGTCTGAAAAACTAAAAGCAAAAAGAACTGGGGACATGGCTCAAGTGGTAGAGCACCTACCTAGCAAGCTCAAGGCCCTGTTTCAAACCCCAGTATCACCAAAAAAAGAAAAAAAAGTAAAAAGCTAGGATTAAATATAGATTTGTGTGTGGTTTATACAAAGCCTGATATTTCTTACCCTAAATTTTCTTATCTTTTTTTATTGCTTATTCATTTATTCACATGTATATACATAGTTTGGGCTATCTCCCCCCACCCCCTCCCTTGCTCCCCCACCCCCTCCCTCGCTCCCCCACCCCCTAAATTTTCTCTTTACGATAAAAGTGCTTCTGTGTTATTAAAAGGAATGTGATGAATCTGTGAAAAGAAACACAGCTAAGTACATTAAGTGAAAAATTAAGTCACAAATTATATATGAGGAGCTGGCAGAGTGGTTCAAATGGTAGAGTTTCTGCCTAACAACCACAAGGCCCTAAGTTCGAACCCATGTGGTGTGATCCCATTTGTATAAGTGAACAAAAATACTCAGACTTGTCTTGTATGTCCATGCACATATCGTGTGTGCATGGAGAAAGATCCTGAAAGCCACATCACAGGGTTTGTAGGGCCTGTCCTTGGGGAATAAAGGATGAGAAGGTGGTTTGTGTGGTAGCTTAAGAAGGCCTGCTGCTGCTTTTCTGAATTCTCTGGGTTCTTTTCTTTTTCTTTTTTTTTTTTTAAATGAACAGCTGTGTATTACTTTACAACTTAAATTTTCTTTTAATGAAAGAGTTTTACAGTAAGCTTAAACCTCTGTTAAATAGGTGGAAATTAAGAGAGAATGGACGTGTTTGCTTTTCCAGTGTTTGCATGAGCGGAAGGAGGCAGAGGAAACAGTGGGGGCTACCCATGGGGAATGGGAGAAAGGGAAATGTGGAGATAAGAATAGAAGTAAGATTTATCAGTTTTTGCCTTTTCATATCTTTTTGACTTACTTTTAAGACAGGGTCTAGCCTAGGCTGACCTCAAACTCATCCTCCTGCTTCAGCCTCAGATGTGCTGGAATTACAGGCATGTACTACCACACCTGGCTTTTTTTGGATTTTTGAGCCATTTAATTACCTAACACCCAAAAACATGTGTGGAAATTGTACATTTTTGTGCTAGGCAGGCACACTCTACCCCTGCATTCTTTTTTTTGTTTTTTTGTGATGGTGGTACTAGGGTTTGAACTCAGTCTCATGCTTGCTAGGCAGGTTCTCTACCACTTAAGCCATACCTCAAGCCCATTTTGCTTTAGGTTATTTTTCAGATAGGCTTTCACTTTTTGCCCAGACCTGGCCTTGGACCATGATCCTCCTACTTCCAGCCTCCTGAATACCTGGGCTAACAGGCACATACCACCACACCCAGTTTATTGGTTGAGATGGGGTCTGGCTAACTTTTTTCCCAGGTTAGCCTTGAACCTCAGTCCTCAAAATCTCCACTTCCTGAGTAGTTGGGGTTATAGGCATGAACTACCACATCTAGCTGTAAAATTTTAATTAAAGAAACAAGCTTAGAAATTGAAAAACAAAATGTGAGCATTTTCTTTCCCACTTTATAAGTAATATTGTTAAAGACTCAATCAAGGCTGGATATCATGGTACATATCTGTAATCCCAGCTACTGGAGAGGTGGATATCAGAAACATTAGCAAGATCCCATCTCAAAGAACAGAAGCACAGGTAGGAGGATTGTTGCCCAGGCTAGCTCTAGGCAAAAGAGCCTATCTGAAAAATAACTAAAGCAGGAAAGGGCTGGGGGGCATGGCTCAAGTGGTAGAGTGCCTACCTAGCAAGCTCAAGGCCCTGAGTTCTAACCTCAGTACCACCAAGAAAAAAAGACTGAATTAATTTGGTTGAGAGTTTTAAATTCTTTTGAAAATTATTGATTTATATGTTTCTCAAATATTTCGCAAAGGCCAACATTCTAAAATGTTCTCCTCTAACACCACGTACATGTGAAATAATAGAAACAATTATTTTTAATTCAATACAAATAAAAGTTATTTTCCCTTTTTAAAGGCACCGTATCAACTTGAGTTCAGACTTCTTGATCACACCTGATTTCTATTGGGATAGAGAAAACCTGGAAGAACTTTATGATAAAACTTGTCAGTTTCTTAGTATTACCCGAAGAGTTAAGGTATGTATTTTGCATGTTTACTAAGAGAAAAAAAAAAAACATGTTTTTACTGTAATTAGTATGACTGAGTTTTAAATTAAGTGAATATATTTAATTGCTTCAGAGAAATATCTTGCTTGACTTCTGTTCAGATCTCTTTAGATTTCTCTTTCATTTCTTGTCACTTTCTGGCTCTCCATGTCAAAGCTTCAAAGCCTAGATGAGACGTGAGGTCCAGGCCTGCGTGTCCATTGGAAGTTCTTGTCAGGTCTAAGCAAGAGTGCATGGGGTCCTGAACTATGATGGTGACAGTGAAAATAGAAATAAACATGGGGGCAGAAAGAACAAAAGATGAGTGATGTTTGTCTGTTTGTGTCAGATAGAAAGGTAGCCAAACAGAGAAGCAGCAAATCACCCAGTTAGAACAATCTCATAGCCATTTAGAAGTGTGGAAGCAGCACTGGGCATGGTGGTACATGCCTGTAATCTCAGCCACACAGGAGGCATAGGTAGGACGATTTCAATCCAAGGCAAAAACTCAAAACCCTATCTGTGAAACAGCTAAAGCAAAAGCACTTGAGGCGTGGCTCAAGAGGTAGAGCACCTGCCTTGCAAGGGTGAAGCCCTGAGTTCAAACCCCAGTAGCACCAAAAAAACCACATAAGTCTGGTGATGTAGCTCAGTGGTAGAGCACTTGTCTAGTATGCCTGAGGCCTTGGGTTCAATCCCTAGCACTGCAATAAATAAGTAAATTAAATGAATAAATGTGTATATATGTGAATGAAAAAATACCTAACATCACTGTTTATTAGTACATTGCAAATCAAAACTTCAGTTAGGAGTCCTTTTCCTAGCTATAGTTTGGATGTGAAATGTCCTTCAAAGCCCCATGTGTTATAAGGTTTGTCCCCACTCTTGGGAGGTGGTAGAACCTTTAAGAGACCGAGCCTAGTGGGAGGATGTTAGGTCATTGATAGCAGGTGCTTGAAGGGGACTGGTAGACCCCAGCCCCTTCCTGTTTCTCACTTCCCTGGTGCCTGCTTTGCTTCCAGGGAGCACCATATGTTCCCTGCCATGACTTGCCGCCTCACTACAGGGCCAACCATGAAACTCCAAAACTAAGCCAAATAAAACCTTTCCATCTTATAAGTTGACTGTCTTAGGTATTTTGTCACAGTAATGAAGAGCTGGCTAACACATCCTTCTACTCATTAAAATGGCTAAACCTAAATGACTGGCCCCAAGTGTTCAGAATGTGGAGTAATTGAAAGTGTCATGTATTACTTGTGGAATAAAAATTGACATACTCACTTTGTGAAACAGGTTCTTAGTTTCTCATAAAGCTTTGTCTTACCACATGTACTAGTCATTTCCCGTTGTTGTGAAAAAATACTGGACAAAACAACTTAATGGAAGAAGGATTTATTGTGGCCCACAGTGTCAGAGGCTTCGGTCCACAGTCATGTGGCTCTGTTCTTCTGGGGCCGTGTGTGTGAAGCAAGGACATCATGGTGTGGAGATGCGGTGGAACACAGCAGCTCACCTTAAGGCAGACTAGAAGCAGAGAAAGAGACAAGAAGCACCGGGGACAAGGTATAGCAGGCATGGCTGCTGTGACCTCCTTCCTCCCACGAGCCCCACTTCCTAATAGCTCATTCAGCTATGAAATCACTGATGAAGTTAGCACTCATTGTCCAGTCACCTCTCAACAGCACCAACTGGGAGCCAAGCTTTCAACACTTGAGCCTTTTAGGGGTTACTTCATACCCAAGCCATAACACCACGTAACCCAGAAATTCCACTCCCACGTATTGCCCATGAAAAATGAAAATGTGTCCTTAGGCAGGTTTGTACAGTGTTCATAGTAGCTTTCTTCCTAAGTCTAAAACTGGAAATAACCAGATATCCATCAATAGGTGAATGTAAAATCAGTGTAGTTTATCCATACAGTTGAATACCACTCAGCTATAAAACTCATTGCTCATGTAGCAACAAGGGAGGGGAATTCCCAAAATCACTGTGCTGGTACATGGTACCAAAGCATACATGAAAGACTAGTCTGCAGTTACAGAAAGTACATCAGTGATTCTGTGAGGTTTGGGGTGGGAATGGTAGGTGGGGAAGTGGATTGCCAGGGGCACAAGGAGCTTTTTGTGGCAATGGAAAGTATGGTGGTAGTTAACATAGCTACACACTTCTTAGTCTTCAAATTGAATGCTAAGATTGGGTATGTCTGCTTTATATAAGTTATGACTCAAATTTAATTTGGAAATAAAGTCTCAATTCTTTAGATGCAGCCATATTTAATGGGGATAAATTTTTAAAATATTCAGATGTACTGTTCTTGGATATCTCTCCTTTTTCTATTGGTATGGAGACCTTGGGTAGAATCATGGTTGTTGGATGAAATATATCACTGCCATCAGGGAGATGTAGATTTCTTTCCCTCTTCTGATAGCTATTCTGCTTGATGGTTTATTAAGTAAGTTAGTAAAAGAGCCACATCCATGATAACCAAGTGGTTGACAGGTCTGAGCTCTCAGGCATCACGTCATTCATCATCTGCCTCCTTAAACTACAGCACCTGTTGATATTGATGTCCATGGTATCTCTACAGTCACCAAGATGAAGGAAAATACTGAGTGTATAGTCAAGAAGAAAAGTAAAAAGATACGGTATCTTTCAAGAACTTGCTCAGATCCCTTAAGTTTAATGTAGAAGCCACATGGAAGATGAGAAATGTCAGAAAGGGATCAATAATGAAAACAAAAGTGCGATGAAGAATCACCTGGCTGCGTAAGAATTAGCTACCAAAAGGAAAGGGAAACCCCAGAGAAGGTGCCACTTTGTTGTCACTCTACCAGCCCAGGAGGAAAGGGCATGCCAGGAAGAGTCCCTTGGAGTTTGCTAGGGACAGAGCTCTGCTGAATAGAAGGGCTTCTTCTGGCCCCACCATTGGGAAGTTGGCTAGGTTCCCAGAAATGTAAGATTCCTGTACAAGTCAGTTCTGTGGTGTTTCTTTTTTTTTTTTTTTTTTGAAATCTTTTTTATGAGTAACTGGCTCTCCTGAATCCTTAAGTGAGTATACAGAGAGAATGTACACTATTCACTCAATACTATAAACAAGTGAACTATTTGTCAATTATACCTCAACAAAGCTGAGGAGGGAAAGTGGAAAATTCAAGTAATCCTGAAGAATAACAGCAAAGATCTATCTAATCTGACACCATTAAAAGTTTCTGTCCTACTCTTTCAAGTTGATGTAATTTGAAGCTTTCTGTGTCCTGGAGCAGGACCATCCCTGCCTGCATTTTGCCTAATAAGGCCAAACCACCTCCTTGGAAAGCTTTCTCCCATCCTTATTTTGTACTTCTTAAGGTCTCCATACAGATCTCTCAGCTTCAGCACTTCAACTGCATTGTGGTGATCTGATTACATGTCAGTCTCTAGGGCTGTGTGTTTCCTAAGGGAAGTTCTACATCTTTGAATCTCCAGCATATTAGAGCACACTAATAGGCTTTCTGTATTTAAATGTCTGAAAAGATTCCTTCCAAGAAAATACAGGATTCCATTCCTTATCTAAACTACCTGACATCCTTCACAGCAGAGCTCAGATTGGTCAGATAATTGAACAGCAATCTTAAAATGCCTAATGCAGGTTGTTTATTACCCAGTCTTCCTGAAGTGTTATGTCTTCCACAAGTTCTGAAGCATACCTAAAAGTTCTCAAACTACCAGCTGGGAACCAAGCCTTCAGCATGCTCCAGTGACCTAAAGACCTTCCACTAGGCCCGATCTCCTAAATGTTCTACCACTTTCTAATAACACTGTAAGGACTCAAGCCTTTAACCCATGGGCTTTGAGGGGACATTCAACATCCAAACTATAGCAGGGCTAAAAGAACTAACCCTCCCCTATTATACTTAATACAGTGCTGGCATTATAGGTAATTCAAAAGAATAAGTAGTCCTGACCTTCAGTAAGCTTGAAGTCTTCCAATAAGTCAGACAACAGAGTGATCACAGTGCTGGAGGGAAGTTGCCCCTTGGTTTTTATTTTCTTCAAAAGTCAGAATCTTGCAAGAAATAGGAGAGAATGGGCATAAGATGCTGAAAAACAGAAAAATTGAAGACAGAGGTCAGAGTATCAGTTGGTAATTAGATCACTGGAAAAGATTGAACAGGGACAGAAACAGCTTGCAACAGGTGACAAGCTCCTTTTCCTCAAGTTTGCATCCCCCAAGGTTCTCCTGGCACCAGCTAATACACAAGCACTGTATTTGCGTGATTTCTACTCCCACCTTTTCCTGGTAGTTTTCTCAATCCGTCCTTTCTTCCAGATGTTTCCCTAAATCTTATAGTTCCTCCATCTCCATATCAAAGTATCTCATAGCATCCCTTTTATTAGTCAGTTATGTGTATCATTCCCCACTAGCGTGTAAGCTCATGACATCAGAGACAATGATCACTGGCTTCCTGTGTTTGTTTTTTGTTTTGGCAGCACTAGGGTTTGAACTCAGGATCTCACACTTGCTAGGCAGGCACTCTTACCACTTGAGCCACTCCGCCAGTGCCCTTTTTAATTCTAAATTTTTTTGCTTTCCAGTTCTTGTAAAGATATCCCACGTAATATGTACTCAGTATTTGTAGAACAAATCATTGATTAAGATTTCAAAATGAAAGTCATTGTATTCTCCAGAAAATGTTGAAACTTCTGTTGTGTTTCATCTACTGGCAGAATCTTACCTATTTGATCATTCAACCAGAAATTTAAGTTCATCTGTATGTTCTTTCTGTTTCACTTTCCACATCCAGTCAGTCAGACCATCTTTCCAATCCTCCTAAGTATGATTCATTCATTGTAAATATTTATTGAAAGCCCATGTGATAGACCCTGGGCTGAACAGGGAAGAGGGTACCACACTGACCCGTGCTTTAAGCTCCCCACCAGTTAATATGCCACTTGGCCTTCTCACAGCTGTACTGGTCTTAATACCCTTTGCACTGATTCTCACCATCCACAGTGGAAGTTTACACAGTCTCTCTCTGCATCTCCTTGGCCAAGTGGGTCTGTCTCATTCGCCATTCTGCTTCTCTGCCCAACACACTATGGTGAACAGCAAACATTTCAGGACTGACAAGGATTCCCTTTATCTGCAGAGTAAGTTCAGACATTATACTGTGTGGTATCTATCACTGCTTTAACAAATCACCTTAAGCCTAGAGGCTTAACACAAATTTATAATCTCAGTTTTGGAGGTCAGGGCCTGGCATGGATGTCACTGAACTAAATTCAAGGTGTTGGCAGGTCTGCATTCCTCTCTGGAGGCTGGAGGCCAGATCCATTTCCTTGCCTTTTCCAGACTGACAGGCTTCCTACATTCTTTGGCTCATAGCCCTTTCCTCCCTCTAGCAAAGGCAAGTTTGAGTCTTCTTCATATCATCATTCTGAGCTCTCCAACTTCCATTTCCACATGTACACTCTTGGAAGCCCACGCAATCTAGCCTTATTCAAATGTCAGCTGATTATGTAGTCCTAATTCCCCTTTGCCATGTCATGTTCACAGGTTCCAGGAGGATCTGTGGAACGGAGCACTATACCCACACCACTGTGGCATCCAGTGCCTCTCAATTATATGCTAACCACCTTCCAAGCACTTCCCTCCAAGTTGTCCATTGTCTAGTGACGCCTCTACTGCTTCCTCTGCTTAAAGTGCTCCCTTTCTGCTTCACCACCTTTATTCACAGCAACTGCCTACTTAATTCACATTAAGCACCTCTGTGAAGTCTTCCTTTTCTCAGTTCATCTGCGTGCATGTAACTTGCATGTCTCTACAGCTAAATGAAATTAGCAAGAACTCTTACATGCACATTTCTGTTTTGTCCAATGCTTGGGTTAATTGGACTTTAGAACCAAGAAAGTTGCACTTAGTATTAAGAGACTTTTGAAATTTCAGGATTTATATTAATATGTACAAATTCTAAAGTTGGGTGATGAAGTGAAGGAAGAACATGTTATCTATTCCTTGGTCAAAGTTCAAAGAAAGAAGCAAGCTTAAAGATGAACATTAGACACCAAAATATAATAGTCCGTGGGGGGGGGGGGAAGGAAAGTAAAGGATGCTGGGGTAAGAATGGAAGAAGCACTGCCTTAGACATTTATGGAATAGAAACTACACAAGGTCTGGGGTACGTGTGAATGGTAGCCATCAAGTTCCATGTCACCCATGCTGCAGTTAATGCTGCAGAGACTCATAATCAGTGTTTCCGTGCATTCCTTTACTTTAATTCCACTTTTTTTGTTTTTGTGGTACTGGGGCTTGAACTCAGGGCCTCACACTTGCTAGGCAGGTGCTCTACCACTTCAGCCACTCCGCCAGCCCTTTTTTGTGTTGGGTATTTTTGAGATAGGGGCTCACGAACTGTTTGCCTAGGGTTGGCTTCGAACCATGATCCTCTTGATCTCTCCCTCCTGAGTAGCAAGAATTAGAGGTGTGAGTCACCAGCGCCTAGCTTTTTGTTTTTGTTTTTATTGGTACTGGGGTTTCAACTCAGGGTCTCCTGCTTTCTAGGCAAGTGCTTTACCACTTGCTTGAGCCACACTCCCAGCACACCTCATGAGAGAATCAAATGATTAAAAATGTTTTCAAACTTTCAATCTTCAGAGAAAAGTAGAGATACTATTGTGAGGCATCGTAACGCAGAACTTTTGCAGTTCAGTTCAAAGTAGTGCCACCTTTGGGGGGCTGGGGAGGCTGGGAGGAAGTAGCCCAAACAATATATGCATGTGTAAGTAAATGTAAAAATGTTAAAATGAAAGAAAAAAAAAAGTGCCACCTCATGGTGAGCCATCAGCAGGTCAGGTTGTCAGTATTTGGGATTCTTTAGTAGAAGGTAACAAAGTTTACTTTTTTAATAAAAACTGCTAAAAACCTAAAGACAGCTACTAAAAACTAGGGTACCTTTTTAGACTTTCCATCAAAATCACAGATTAATATGATAACTATTTAACATATTAAATATTACAGAATGTTTCTGGATGGATTCATTAGAAACTGAACAATGGCTTGATTGCCTTTGAGAAAAACAAGGAGCAAGAATTGAATAATTTTTTCATTGCAGTACCCACAGAAATTGTTTGAAATGGTTTCAGTACACAATACATATTTTTCTTTCCTTTTTTTTTGGGGGGTAGTGGGGTTGGAACTCAGGGCTTCACACTTGCTAGGCAGGCGCTCTACCACTTGAGCCACTCCACCAGCCTCTAGTTTTTCTCATACAGGTCATGAATGAAAAACTTCAGCACTGCATGGAACTGACAGATCTAATGCGGAATCACCTGACTGAGAAGAGGGCACTGCGCCTAGAGTGGATGATTGTCATTCTCATCACCATAGAGGTGACTAGATTCTGTACCACTGTCACGTACCTTAACCTTTTTACTATATGGACCTAGCGATAGACAATTTGAGATAAAAAAAATTGTAGGAAAGATGATGACTTTTGGCTCTAATTAGTAAGTCCGTAGAAGTGATGTTAAGCCTCAAATGACTATATTTTGCAATTGCATTAAGTAATAAAAAGGTTCCACACGTTTTCAAGACAGCATTATGGCTTTAAATCATAATGTGCAGCTAATCAATACTTGTGCCTCAGATCTGCAGCATCCCAAGTGAGAAGGGTAACATTTACTTTTCATTCATCACAATCTTAGAAGTCATCTTATTGTGTACCAATAAATTGTTTGCCATAGAATTAATAATTTTTTTTTTAATCCGAAGGTAATGTTTGAACTGGGACGAGTGTTTTTCTGACCACTGGTAACTAGTGCTGCTGCAAGAGATACTCAAGTTCTACAATCAAAAATCAGTGTTCACTATTAGGTGACCTCATATTTAATAAGTATTTAATTTTTTTAATCAAGAAATTGTTATAATTATCTTTTCCAGCTCCTAAACATACTGCTGCTTGAATAAAAATTATATAATCTGGTGTTTGGGTCTACGTTGACAGTTGAAAAGGAAAAAAATTTTTATCAGTGTAAAGAACTTTGGATCATTTTAGCATCTAGGAAATCTCAGCAAGGTACTCCTTATAGCTAGAAACTTTAGATTTTGGTCACCACGTCTTAAATTTACCCTGGGAGTCAGTCTTGGCTAAAAATCCATACAGGAACCTACTAGTGTTGAAATCAATACTGGTGGCAGAAATAAACTTTATGCACCCATTTTAGAGGACCTAATTTGAATATGACTGCTTACTGGCACAGTGCTTTTTAATCAATATTTGTCTTCACCACCCAAACAAGTGACAATATTCTTCCTACAAAGACCCTTTCACATACTTTGGGGAAATTACAAAATAGCAAGCATAAAGAACTTAATTTATATACATACCACATTGCATTAACTTTTTTGTCAGCTGGATGTTAGTGCTTCATACCTGTAATCACAGCTTTGCAGGAGGCTGAGATAGGGAGGATTGCGGTTCCAGGGCAAAAAGCCTGGACAAAGTAAAACCAAAGGAAAAAGGGCTAGAGGCATGGCTCAAGTAGAAGAGCGCCTGCCTTCAGGCACAAAGCCCCGAGTTCAAACCCCAGTACCACCAAAAACAAAGCAAAAACGCCTTTTTGGATTTTGTTGTTGTTTGGGACAATCTCAAATGTGTATCCTAGCCAGGCTGGCCTCAAACTCACAACCCTCCTGCCTCAACTTCCCAGATGCTGGAATTGGGCATGCCACCCTGCCTGGCTCAAGCAGTGTGATGGCACAAAGTCCAAGCTACTTGGGAAGGTGTGGCTGGACAATTACTTGAGCCCAAAAAATTTTTTTTTCATGTTACTGGGTTTTTAATTCAGGGCCTCACACTTAGCTTAAGCAGGTGCTCTACCACTTGAGCCACTCCTCCGGCCCTTTTTTATGTTGGGTATTTTTGAGATAGGGTCTTGCAAACTCTTTGCCCTGGCTGGCTTCGAACTGTGATCCTCCTGATCTCTGCCTCCTGAGTAGCTAGAATTATAGGTGTTGAGTCATGGCCTGACGTTTATGCATAATCCCTTGTCCTAGTAGGCCAACCAGGATGAATCTAATGTTACTTTTCTTAACTCATACACATATTACACACATTATTCTTAACTGCTGCACAGTATTCCACCAACAGAGTACACATTCACTGATACCTTTACTGATGGGCATGTATTTATTTGCTATAAATAGTACTAAGATGAACTTCTGGTATTTTTCAGCACTGTGCCTCTTGAATAGCTGTCTTCGATTTGAGGTACCTATACCTCAAGGGTACCCAAAAACTTTCCGAGGAGAAAGGGGGCATGGATAGTTCCAGAAGTTTTAGATCAGTTTTCCTGTACTTTCATACTGGTACACGCCTACAATCATTGAATACAGCTTGTTGTTGACACCTTCTTTCCCTTTTCACACTACACATCTCTCAGCCAAACTGAATATTGTTTGGTTTGATATATTTGATAGCTGTTAAATATTGTATAACCTCTGGCTGCCACATCAGAGGACAATTTGAAAAATTGGTCAGACCACTAAATTTCCTCCCCTCTAATCTCCAGGGCACCCTCTCTTGGGACCCATTCCCACTCTGGGAGCTCTACTCTGTTACTTTTCTATCGCAATAAAGTCTCCCATTTTACTTACCAAAAAAAAGGTTATCTCCCAATACCAATAGGCAGTTAATAAAGTACAATTTGCTGTTTAGTAGTAACAACTTTAATAGCTCAATCCAGAAGAAACACATTTAATGCCTCTGGCTATAGCAAATTAAAATTTTAACATTTCAATTTATATACACATATGTTGTAAACAATTACAAAATCAAAAACTTTCATAAACATTTATTAGTCTTGTGGGGGAGGTGTAACACTGGGAAAAAGAAAGGAACATTAAACTTGAATAGTTTACCTATGTTTAAATGGATCATGGTAGACACCAATTCATTATGACATTCTGTTAGATACAACTTAAAGGTGGTATAACATCATTGCTATATTATCAATATGTATGATGCACTGGAAATTATCTTTTTCAACTATTGTACTTTGATTAGAATCTTCAACTTATCAAAGAGTTGGGGGGGGTAAAGAAAAAAAAATTGATAGATATATCTCTGTAGGATCACCATTCTTTTAATAAAATGACCAAAAAATGATCAGAATATTGACAGCATAGAATACATACCTTCACCATTGGCTCCCAAAGCCCTCTCCAAGTATATCAAATCTGTATCGCCCATGAGAGTTCAATGATAAAAGACCAACCTTGAATTCTTGCTTTACCAACACTTAGTAACTGTGTAATTGTCTATCACCTTGGGCAAGTCACTGAACCTCTGAGTCTCAGTTTCATCTACATAATGGGTCTAAAAACAGTACTACTTCATAAGGCTGCTGTGAGAATGAGTGGAATGTATGTGAAGCTGTAAGAGTGATCATTATTACAACAATCCCGTATATGATTTTGAGATTAAATGGAAGCTAAGCCAAATTTCTAGGATCTCTATTCAAAAACATTTTTTTTTCTTCTGGCACTAGGGATCAATTCCTGGGTCTATTGAATGTTAGACAACCCCTCTGAATCTTAAGTAACATGATGACTGAGACTTAAAGGATAGATGCTATGGATGCTACTGAATCCTGCACCTGAATGAAGTAGTTCACTGAAATATAAAGCAGTATTTCCACTGTTTGAAATTGCCTGGTTTGGGCTGGGAGTGTAGCTCAAGTATTAAGAGCACCTGCCTAGCAAGCATGAGGCCCTGAGCTCAACCCTGGTACTGTCAAACAATAAAACAAAATGGGCTGGTCTTCATTGCAAACCCAAGAAGGCACATTCTGCATATACAAAGCAGCTGCCAACAACTAGGGTAGCTTCTTAGATAACTACAAGTCAGAGCAATTACTTCTTTATATGTAAAAATCATTAATTTATCATTTTTAACTGAACCATACTGACCTATTTTAAATTATTGTCCTTTCTGCCACAGAGTAGTTTTTCCAAAGTATGGTCTTTAGACCAACCTACCCACACAACACACACAACTACATGCTGAGCTCCATACCGCACCTTAACCAAGCAGAGCCTGAGGGCTACACCGGGAAATGCATCTTGTAACTCTCCTAGAGACTCTTCTGCTCACTAAATTCTGGCAACTACTAGCATACAGTATTTGTTGGTTCATACCCAGGTTATACAGGCTTTTAAGTCATGAGCAGTACTCTTTGCTAACTGAGCACTGAGACTCAAGTGACTCAGTTCTTTCTTCCCCAACCCAATCTGTTGTCCCTGTCCTGTGTATGAGTTGGGAGATGATAAGAAGGAGGAATTTTTCTAAGTTCCTCCAAACACATTCACTCAACTCTCCACTGGTTGTGAATTGCCAATTTTAGGAAAGATTTTTTTCCCCCTTTCCTCTCAGAGGGCTAATGAAACAAAATGTTGTAAAGGCCACATTTTTCAATCCATCTGTACAATCTTAAGTAAAACATGGATTTAAGTGCTTTAAAAAAGTTTCAACATACTCTAGCCTGTTAATATAATCTGAAAATCATACAGCATTATAAAACCTCCTTACCGATATTCATTCTTTTATCCAATTCAAAAAATACTTACCAGAGGTTCTGACTGCTACTCACAATTCTAAGTAAGGTAAAGATGACAGATGAGTTCCCTGCTTTCAAGAACCTTACAGTCTAATGAAGGCAGCAGGAAAACAACTGTTTAGGTCATCTGTTTATAGAGACATATACTCAAAATCTACAGAAGGCTGTATGAAGTCAAGCAAAGGGAACAGACTAGTTAAGTGAAATAACTTAGAACTGACTTGAGGTTTAGAAGATAGTATTTGAATTTTAAGACTCAGAAAAGCAAAGATTAAGTATAAACTTGACTTTTGGCTTGGCTTCTACACGAGAAACTTGGGATTTGCTCACTACAACTTTTAAAAACACTGGCAATATGAAAAGATGGATTACACCGATTGTTGAACTCATCAACAAAAACTGATGCAATTCCAGTCAAATATAAACCACTAACTAGCCACAAGACCTTAAATTCAATGTTGATCTAAAACTAAAAGGCCTCATGGTTCTAGTTACCTGAGAGATTGTGTCTCTTCATGCCCCATGGCAATGAAGATTAGTTGAAATACCTGTCCGATGGCTTATTATTGAAACTTGATGAGTTGAAATCCTCTAATTATCTTAGGGTGCCTTTTCAGATAGTGACCAACCATCCTGGGTTTTCCTGGGTCCTAAATAGTTTACCTGGGAGCAAGCCATACATTCAGTCCTAGGCAAACCAAAACTGGTACTTCTATCTTGAGACATCATTTTAGACACTAGTATGCTTAAACAGCCACCTTTTTCAACTCAGGACTTTGCTGAGTTGTATGCTACAGATCTTTAATATGGATCAACTACTAAAAGCAAAAGCCTCTGCTACCAATTAATAACCACTTTTTTTCATTGAGAAATGTACTGAGGGATGGAGATATGGTTAAAGTGGTAGCCTAGCATGGCACAGGAGGCCTTGGATTCAACCTCAGCCCTGGGGGGGGAAATGTGTATTATCAGTCAAGGGAAGTACAGATACGCAATTTACAAAAGGGTAGTTATTGGTTGCTTACCCTTGTGGTCACCTGGTTGACTGGGAGCTGCTGCTCACTCAAGACAGATTATACCATGAATCATCAAATCATCAGCCCAGAAAACATTCAAAATCTGAAGTACGGTTGCTACTGAATGTGACCACTTTTGCCATCACCATAAAGAGGAAAAACTTGTAAGTCAAAGCATTTCAAGTTGAGGACCATGTACAGTAATTTTCCTCTATAAATTCCATTTATTTCACTAAAAATCCTAAGTCAAACACAACTTGAATAATCCAGACTCACACCTTTTAAGAATGTTCTCAAACACTCAGGAAACTGAGTCTCCTGAGTGTGCTCGATGTTAGCCTGGGCTACACAACAAGACTCCACATCAAAAAAAAGAAAAAAAAAGGCCAGGAGCCGTGGCTCATGCCTGTAACCTCAGCTATTTGGGAGGCAGCCATCAAGAGAATTACAGCTCAAGGCTAGCCCTGGCAAAAAGTTAGTAAGACCCCATGTTAACCAACAAAGCAGGCAATAACCCCAGCTACACAGGAGGCATACATAGGCAGGAACATCACAGTCCAAGACTGCCTGGGCAAAAAAAGCACAAGACCCTATCTGGGGAAAAAAAAAACTAAACTAAAAAGCAAAAGGCTGGGGCTCAAGTTGGTAGAGTGCTTGCCTACCAATTATGAGGCCAAGTTTAAAACACGGGTGCAATCAAAAAAGTTTCAAAATTAAGTCTTTAAAAATCAGTTGTGGGCTGGTGGTACTAGAGCACTAAATAAATGACCAGTCTAAACTCAGAACTATATAGTATAGACAACAGACCAGTGTTGGATGGGAGGAGGGCAAGTCTTTAAAAGGATAACTCCAAAGAATTTTTTGACGTTAAAGACATGTCCTGTATCCTGGTAGTGATTACACAAACGTATACTCATTCTGTTGAAATAAATGAACTGCGCATGGAAAGAAAAGCCAATTTTATCATGTAATTCTAAGTTTTAGAATCAGTGGCATTTCAAAAATATATTAATGATTCCATCATTTAACTGAGGTACTGTTCTAGATAAGCCCCTTTACATTCACTATTTCATACACAACTGATTACACATTGTCCCATTCATAAATACCAACCACACTCTCTGACAGTGTTTAAGAGTATAAGGAAGCTTTTAAGTTATTTCTAACCCAACACATTAGAACGTGAAAGTATGCAGGTAAACAAAACATGACTCTAGAGCAGAATTGCCCAAGAGAACTTTCTGCAATAGAAATGTTCTGTAATATCTGTGTTGTC